TGTCCTCCAACTTCCAAACATCCGCCTCGATCAAGAAGTCCAACTACCTCAGCTCGGCGCCTACTATCAACACTTTCCTCCCCGGTACCGCCGCAGAAATTCTTCTCACAGAAGTCACATCGAACGGAATGATCGGAAAGATTATGGGTATGCTCGACGCAACTGTTGACCTGGTTCAGTCTAGCATCAACGGCAAGGTTGACTTGGAGAAGAAGTACAAGATTGGCGCAAAGATCAAGGGTCGTATTATTTCGACTTTCCCTGCTGCTGAGCCTCTCAAGGTCGGCTTTTCTCTGCTCGATCATGTTCTCAAGCTCTCTTCCGAGGCTCGCGGTCCCGGTTCTTCTGATGATGCACCTGCTATTTCCGCAATCATTCCTGAGGTCAAAGTCGTGAAGGTTGATCAGGGTCTGGGCGTGTATGCTCGGATTGGAGAAACAAAACATATGGGCTTTGTTCACATGTCGAGACTTTCTGATGGCAAGGTCGAAACAGTCGATGAAAGCTCTGGAGCTTTCCAGCTGGACGCTGTTCACGAGGCAAGAGTCATTGGGTATAACTCGATCGATAACCTCTACATTCTCTCATTTGAGAAGAGCGTTATTGAGCAGCCGTTCCTTCGCGTCGAGGATGTGAATGTGGGTGCTATTGTTAAAGGAAAGGTTGAGAAACTTCTGATCGGTCCCGAAGGTATGAATGGATTGATTGTCAACCTGGCGGATGGAATCACCGGTCTTGTTCCCTCTATGCACTTTGCGGATACCATGCTTCAATTCCCAGAGAAGAAGTTCCGCGAGGGTCAGAAGCTTTCGCTGAGAATTCTCTCTGTGAACCTCGAAAAACGCCAAATTCGTTTGACCCTGAAGAAGAGCTTGCTGAACAGCGAGTCTACTATCTGGAAAGACTATAAAGATATCACTCCTTCGGCCCAGTCTCCTGGTACCATTGTCAGCCTTCAGAGCCATGGTGCAGTTGTGCAGTTCTACGGCGAGGTCCGTGGTTTCCTTCCTGTCTCTGAGATGAGTGAAGCCTACATTCAGGATCCGGCCCAGCACTTCAGACTAGGCCAGGTTGTCAACGTTCATGCTTTGAGCGTGGATGTATCCCTTGGAAGACTTGCTGTCTCGTGCAAGGACCCCTCGACATTTACCGAGAAGTATCGTGAGGCCTTTGAAAACCTTCATCCCGGCCACCTTGTTTCTGGAACCGTATTCGAGAAATCTAATGATGATGTGCTTCTCAAGCTTGACGAGTCTGGCCTCGTCGCTCGTCTCGACGCTGAACAACTCATTGACGGCTCCGCATCGAAGCAAAGTTCGATGTTGTCTAAGCTCCGCGTCGGACAGAAGCTGAACGATCTTTTGGTCCTCGACATCCAGCGCGCTCACCGTCTTATCAAGGTTAGTAGCAGGGCCAGCTTGAAGAAGGCTGCCAAGCAGAAGAACATTCCGGCCCAGTTCGAGGAAGTCCATGAGGGCTCCCTTGTCACAGGATTCGTCCGCAACATCACACCCGACGGAGTCTTTGTTGAGTTCCTCGGCGGCCTCACTGGCTTGCTTCCCAAGCGTCTTATCGAAGATGCCAACCTCAAGCAGCCTCACTACGGGCTGACAAAGGCGCAAACGATTGTTGTCAATGTGCAGTCTGTGGATCAGGAATTCAAGCGCTTCATTCTGAGTATGAAGCCCGTTCAGGCTAGCCAGGCCGCTCCCAAGAAAGCGGTCAAGCAAACTGACGAAACCGTTGCCAACCCCGTCGATGACAACATCAAGAGCATGTCCGATTTCACCTTCGGCAGAGTAGTTGAGTGCAAGGTCGTCTCCATCAAGGCAACCCAGGTCAATGTCCAGCTCGCGGATAACATCCAGGGTCGCATTGATGTGTCCGAAGTATTCGACGACTGGAAAGACATCAAGGATCGCAAGCAGCCGTTGCGATTCTTCAAGGCCAAGCAGATTCTCTCCGCCAGAATCCTTGGTATTCACGATGCCCGCAACCACAAGTTCCTCCCCATCAGTCACCGCACTGGAAAGTACCCTGTTTTCGAGCTCTCTCTCAAGCCAAGCTACATCAAGGCCGCCAACCCTGCCCCTCTTAACATGGAACAGGTTCAAGTCGGCTCCTCTTGGGTAGGCTTCGTCAACAATGTCGCTGATGACTGCCTCTGGGTCAACCTGTCTCCCAACGTCCGCGGCAGACTGCGCTTCATGGATGCATCTGATGACCTGTCCCTGTTGACTGATATGGAGAAGAACTTCCCTATCGGCTCTGCTTTGAAGGTCCAGGTCACCGCCGTTGACGCCGAGAAGGGTCACCTCAACCTCTCTGCCAAGCAAGGATATGACAAGCTTGCATTTGGAGATATCTCCGTTGGCATGATCTTGCCGGGTCGTGTTACCAAGGTCACTGAGCGCCAGCTTATTATGCAGCTCGGCGAGTCACTCGTTGGCGCGGTCAACCTGACCGACCTCGCAGATGACTACTCCAAGGCCAACCCCACCGTGCACAACAAGAACGAGGTCCTCCGAGCATGCGTTATTGCCGTTGACAAGTCCAGCAAGAAGATTGCCTTGTCGCTGCGCCCCTCCAAGGTCATGAGCTCCTCTCTGCCCGTGCAGGACCGTGAGATCTCTTCGCTCAAGGAGGTCAAGCCCAACGACATCATTCGCGGCTTCGTCCGACGAGTCACCGATTCCGGTCTCTTCGTGGCAGTCAGTCACGACATCACAGCCTACGTTCGCGTGTCGGACCTTTCCGATTCGTATCTCAAGGAATGGAAGGACTCCTTCCAGCCTGATCAGCTCGTCAAGGGCAAGGTCACGTTCGTTGACGCCGAACAAGGCAAGCTGCAGCTGAGCTTGAAGGAGTCTGTTCTGGACCCCAACTTCAAGGCTCCCATCACTCTCAAGGATCTCAAGGAGGGCCAGATTGTGACCGGCAAGGTTCGCAAGGTTGAAGAGTTCGGTGCTTTCATTGTCATTGACGGGTCGTCAAACATCAGCGGTCTCTGCCACCGCAGTGAGATGGCTGACAAGCGCGTCGAAGATGCTCGCAAATTGTACGACGAAGGCGATGCTGTTAAGGCCAAGATCATTAAGATCGACCTTGATTCGAAGAAGATCTCGTTCTCACTCAAGGCTTCTCACTTCCAAGATGAAGAGGAAGACGACAGCGAGGATGAGGACAGCATGAGCATTGACGGTCTTGGCGGTGTCGAACTCGGCGAACATGACAGCGAAGATGACGATGACGATGACGACGATGAGTCCATGGGAGGTGTTGATGTGGAGGATGACAGCGAGGAGGAAGAATCCGAGGACGACGATGAAGAGGTCCCGATTCAGAAGCCCAGCAAGACCGGAGGTCTCGGTGCGAGCGGCTTCGACTGGAGCGGCACCGCCCAGACCGACGCCGCCGAGCGCTCCGACAGCGAAGATGAGGGCTCCAAAAAGAAGAAGAAGAACCGTAAGGCCGAGATCCAGGTGGACCGAACCGGTGACTTGGACGCCAATGGCCCTCAGTCCGTTGCCGACTTCGAGCGACTCCTTCTCGGTGAGCCCGACTCCTCGCTGCTGTGGTTGCAGTACATGGCCTTCCAGCTGGAGCTGGGTGAGATTGAGAAGGCTCGCGCTATTGCTGAGCGTGCTTTGCGCACTATCACCATGGGCCAGGATGCTGAGAAGCTGAACATCTGGGTTGCGCTACTGAACATGGAGAACACCTACGGTGACGACGACAGTCTCGAGGAGGTCTTCAAGCGTGCCTGCCAGTACAACGAGCCCCAAGAGATCTACGAGCGGATGATCAGTATTTACATCCAATCCGGCAAGAACCAGGTATGTGCAGTTTATCGTGAATCTTACTTTCTACAGATGCTAACAATTTCACAGAAAGCAAGTGATCTCTTCTACGCGGCTCTCAAGAAGAAGATTTCCTCCCAGTCCCCCAAGTTCTTCTACAACTACGCCAGCTTCCTCTTCGACACCATGGCCTCCCCCGACCGCGCTCGGGCTCTGCTCCCCCGCGCCCTTCAGTCCCTCCCTGCCCACACCCACGTTGAGACGACCTCCAAGTTCGCCCAGCTCGAGTTCCGCTCCGCTAACGGAGACGTTGAGCGCGGTCGTACCGTCTTCGAGGGTCTCCTGTCCTCATTCCCTAAGCGTATTGACTTGTGGAATGTGCTCCTGGACCTTGAGATCAAGGTCGGCGATGCGGAGCAAGTGCGCCGTCTGTTCGAGCGCGTCCTTGGCCTACAGAGTTCCAAGAAGGGTCCCGTTACCGTGGACGCTAGCAAGAAGGTCAAGCCTAAGCAAGCCCGCTTCCTGTTTAAGAAGTGGCTTTCCTTCGAGGAGGGTCTGGCTGCTGCTAATGGAGACGAGAAGATGGTTGAGGAGGTCAAGGCACGGGCTGTTACCTATGTCAAGTCTCTTCAGGAGTAAATCTATAAAAAAGTGTGTTCATCTGAACCTATGGGTGTTTCGGGGGTTTGCATTTGTGAATTTATGTACTTGTATATAGAAAGCGATTCAGGAAATATCTTTTTTTGTTCTGTTCAAGTCTCTCGATCAATCAGCATCGCCAATCCCGCACGTGTATGTACCAAAGTTCGTCATGGAGATGTAACCCAACTTTGCCTTGACAGTACCACGGAATCACCACTTATCATTTTTAGAGATAGGTACCTAGGTATAGGTTTACTTTCCTTTTCTTTTTATCTTCACTTTGATTTCGGAATAATGAACTCTTTCCCTTCCCAGAGCTCAGTATCGAGTCTTCATTTCGATCCATACAGAGACTCACTAGATACAGAACATCCGAAGCTCAATGTGCATGACTCCGTTGAGCGGGGGTATCCGGCCCGCTCATGGAGTCAAGTGTGGACGGCCTTGACTTGGTCTTCAACTTCTCCCGGGCTGTCAGGAGACCCGTCTAAGCGCCAGCGATCTTGTCGATCGCGATACTTATATGGTCTACGGCGTGCAATTATCGGAATATTCATCATGCTGTGAGTTTTAAGAACTACACATGTCAATGAGGAAGACTCACTGACCTATCACCGATAACAGAGGCATCATCCAATTCATCTCCATCGCCTGTGGTATCGTCCTCTCATTCTTCCCGGATGAATACGACCGCGCAGTTCATAATTGGCTATCCAGTGCCGACAACGCCACCACCGTAGACAAAACGCGCTGGCCCACCGATATCTCGCGCGATATCGTCCCTGTTGGCTGCCACTCCCATAACGATTACTGGCGCCGGGTGCCACTGTACTCCGCACTGCAAGCGGGATGCATAGGCGTCGAAGCCGACGTCTGGCTTTTCGACAACGAGCTCTACGTCGGTCACACCACATCGTCGCTAACAGAGCACCTAACCCTGCAATCCATGTACATTAACCCGCTAGTAACCATCCTCGAGCGCCAGAACCCAACCACCAAATTCAACCAGGGGGGCGACAGCCCTGCGCATGGAGTCTTCGACACAGACCCGGCTCAGACTCTAATCCTCCTCATCGACTTCAAAACCGCAGGCCCTGCAACCTGGGACGCCGTCACGAAGCAACTCGCTCCGCTCCGTGACCGGGGCTACCTAACCCACTTCAACGGCGACGAGGTCATACAGGGCCCCGTCACCGTCGTCGGAACGGGAAACACACCCTTCAACCTTGTCATCGCAAACACCACCTACCGCGATATTTTCTTCGACGCCCCGCTCGACAAACTCGTTGAAGCCGAGCAGTCAGGCGACAACCCCCAACTGGACGCAGCCCTCTTCCCAGGCACAGATCTCGGCCAAGGCCAATCTGGCATGCCAACTACCGTTACTGCATCCACATTCAACGCCTCGAACAGCTTCTATGCCTCTGTGTCCTTCAAGAAGTCAATTGGTCATCCCTGGCCCTTCCACTTCACGCAGCGCCAGATGGACCGCATCCGCAGCCAGGTGCGCGTTGCGCACCAGCACGGCTTGAAAGTGCGCTACTGGGCGCTGCCGAGCTGGCCTCGCAGTCTGCGAAATCATATCTGGCGCGTGCTTGCGCAAGAGGGTGTAGATATTCTGAATGTTGATGATTTGGTTGATGCTACTAAGGGAGATTGGAATACGGGGGTCTTCGATTGGTGGCCATGATGGCGCCATGCACTGGTAGGTGGTGGGTATCTTTCTTTCCCCCTTCCTTCTCGCTCTTACTTTTGATGAAATATTGGGTCATGGACTGGATTGGACTGGTGTTGGGTTACTTGTCTGATTTATGATACCTCGCCTCTTTCTTTGGCCTTATTGCTTTATTTTGCTTGATAGACTACTTGCTTCATATTTCATTGGTGCTATACATCCAATATCAGAATGTCTACATATGCAGCTTCCGGTTACTGATACTGATACTACTTTGATAACAAAAGAGACAGAAGAGGCAATAGTGTGGATTAAAATAATTCTTCAGTTCAAATTCACACAATCATAGTTTGGTCTCTTCGTATCCAGCGGAGCGGTAATGTTATTCCTCGATCTGGAATGTGTTCCCCAATGCCCTTGATAGCCGATATCCAGCATTGACGCCATAATGCTTCCAGTAAAATCAGATCAAAATCACATATATAAACCAAAGAAGAAAGGACACGGTCCCAAAACAAGATTAAAAGACCGAATAGTGCACCAAAAGGCTCTCGACCAGCGGGTAGCCCCCTTAACACGAACAAAACACACCGAACATAGCCCGTGGGACGTTGGATCTCATAGACAGCAGAGCGCCTCTTCACCGAACTCGCGGATAACACTACCCTCTTCCCGAATCAGTCCACCAAGCCAGTGCTTCGCAGTCTCAAAGTCCTTAGCACCGAACTTGACAAGTACGAAACCGGCGCGCACCCGGGCCGCCGTCCACGTAACATCACCCTTATAACTAAGCGAAGGCTCGGGCACGGACGGCGCATGGTCCGACCAATTGCGGCTGCCGATGCGAGGCTGCGACTGGAACTGCTTCAGCATGAACGAACCAAGAGCTTCGAACACAGGTCCGGAGAGGATAAGTGTGCCGACGACGCCGTGCGGGCGCGTGCGCTCCGCGATGATATTCAGCGGGGTTAGGCCGGCTGGTGCCTGTGGCGGCAGGTCGACGGGGTTCTCTAGGCCGGTATGGGTGGTGCTGTAGGATGTGTTTTCGTTTTCGATCTCGTCTTCGTCGGACATCGTGTCTTCCAGGTCTCCGGATTCATCGTCCAGGATTACCGAGTCGCGGAGGAGGAGTCGGCGTTTGCCTTTGTCGTCTTCGGCCCAGACTTCGTTGCGGCCGCGCCAGAACTGGAAGTTCCAGTCCTCGCCGCGCGAGGTGCGGCCTTGCGTTACCCAGTCTCAGGACGCAGAGGCTGCTTCGATCGGTGCCTTTTGCCGTGGCGTCTACGGTGAAGGTTTGGACTTGGGCGTAGCGGCTATGTTGGAAGGGGACGGAGGGGTCTGGGAGGTAGCAGAGGGCTGCTTGGCGGCCGATGTTGACGTCTAGGGATTGCTGGCTCATGTCGGAGAGGTGGTCGTTTGCGGGCATTTGATCGCGGTGCCCTTTGATTACATTTGGGGCTGTGCCGCTGTTGTTTGGGGTTGTTTTGAAGATCTTGGTGCTACCTTGTGGTGTTGTTACCACCATTCGCGTCCTGGGCTCGAGCGTGATGGATACTTCGATGTGGTCCCCCGGCAGGAGCCCGCCGCCGTAGGTGAGGAGGTAGAGGTGGACAGGATTGGAGGGACATGTGTCTGAGAGGGCGGAGGAATCTGGGGATGGGACGAAGCCGCCGGTGCGCGGGACCAGTTTCAATGGGTATTTGTAGGTGAGGGTTGTGAGGGTGGGATTGTTTGGTGGGAGGAGAGAGAGAGACGACTTTGCCCTGTCCTGGCTTCGCAATGGAAGACTGAAAGGGCGAGGGAATGGGCATTGCTGGTTGTCGCATCGTGATGGATGTGAGGGTTTGAGAAGGCGAACAAGTAGAAGGTGTGGCGGGCTAGTAGGTTTAGAGGTATGAAGAAGGAACACAAGAAGAAACTCTGTAGTATAATGTTTATATTGAGCAATGAAGCCAGGCCATGATATAGTTCGAATAGTTCGAGGGGCGAGTTGATATATAAAATGGGAGAATGACGATTCCTTAGTCAGAGATCTCCACATTCCGACTTGTCAAGCGGGGGATATTCTCAAACCACCTGGCTTTTGCTTGGCTCCCTAAATGAGGACGGAACATAATTAGGAGACGAAATAACTGGCAGAGAATGACGGGATGAGGTTTCTATGACAAAGAGTATCTCCGCACTGGTGTTAGACTGGCGTTAGACCTGAAGGGGTTGGGAGGGTTACCTCTTGGCAATGCACTTTTTATGTCATTTGCCCAGCTGATCTGCACGGCTTATTTAATTATAGTCTGACAGTCGTCGGACAGTCTGGGCATTGAAAGGAGATCATGAGACTATATTGCTATATATCCATAGTAAAGCAGCTAGTGTGACAGTATATCCGACTCTAGCTCAATTGCCGAATAGAAATAAACATATAGCGCTGGAGGTGGGCTTGGATTATACCTATTTCCCCCTATACTGCTCCTATAACCCATTGAATAGCGTTAGGCAACGGAGCACTGCCCTTGAATCTAATATCTCTGCAGCCTAGGCTGGTAAGCTGGGGTAAATGGTACGGAGTACAATATTGGACTCTGGAAAGAGATTGGCATTCAGTATCGTACAGCCACACTGAGAATGGTAATAATCCACCTCCCAAGTTAGAATACTCTAAATACGGAGTATCGTGTTCAAAGCCAGGACCTCCTTTCTACGTATCTTTGCAATGCTACTAGATTTTAATGGAGCGTATCCATCCAACACGGATAATTCTAAACGGAGAGGTCGCACATCTAGAATATAGGTAGTCCTTAACTAGTTAACTAGTTTAACTAGTTACGGATAGACACCCGATTTAAAAGGCATACATAGAAATATTGTCTGCTTACATAATTTAGCAACCTCAGGCCTCAAGGCACGATGTCGCGTCTCCCCCACGCTGAGATCCGGACCGTTTTCTGCCCAAGCGCTTCCGTTTGATTGACCTGATCTCAACACGGTCAGAGCGCGTATCGCTAATATTTGACATCTCAAATTGTAGACTTCCTTCATAACCCCCGCCAACTTCTGTTTGCTCGGTCGTACCAGACCCGCGCGTTGCACGAGCGCGTCCCCGTCTGAAACTGCAGCAACATCTGCCAACTCTGTTGAAACCCATTGATCTGGTCCGCAGGCCTATCTATCCGATCGCATGCTCACATAATACACCAATCCGACACCATGGATATCGATAACCCACCTCTATCAAGCCCCGGTGGCCCGTCATCGACCCCCGCCGAAGACCGACGCAAATCCGGTCGACAGACGCGACGACCCGAAGTATTCTCGCAAACTGCATATTCTGCCGAAGAACAAGCTGCCGGTGGGAAGCGCAAGCGAGACGGGGCGCGTGAGGACGGTGATGAGGACGCGTCTGAATCCGACAGTGATGATATTGGTGACGACGAGACCGATGAGGAGGCATTGAAAGACAAGCGACGCGCCGCGCGTCGAACTGGTGCTAAGAAATCCAAATCGAAATCCAAGGCCAAGGGCTCGCACGCTTCGAAGAAACCGAAGGTCGCAAGTAACGGGTTAGGGAGACAGCTCGCCTTCCGACCAGCCACCAATGGTCGACTGCCTGCTGCTCGTCCCCGGAAACCGAAAGTACGACCCAGTCTTGCGGCGGGCGAACGCGGATTATTCGGTGAGTCATGACTTTCTTTGTCTATACACAGTCAATCGCGTAGCTAACCAGAATCAGCCGAGGTGTTCGGGAAAAGCAGCAATGCCGATACGGTGGCCGCTCAGTGGCTGTCTCAATATCAGCGCAACAATGGTCAGGCCATGCGGGACCTCGTCAACTTCATCCTGCGATGCACGGGTACCGATCTTGAGATCGACATTAACGAAGTGGAAGACGTTGATAATGCCCCGGGCCGAATCGAAGACCTGCAGAACCTTTACCAAGCAGAAGGCATCACCGAATACCCTATCATTTCCAAAGCGAAGAAGTTCAAAGCTTTCTCAGTCCTCCTCGAAGAATTCACCGTCGCACTGATCCAAACTTTCCATGCCTCTTCCATCCTGTACACCGACGATACCCTGCTCGAAAATATTCAGATCTGGATCTCTTCCATGTCAACATCAAAATGTCGACCATTCCGGCATACAGCGACCTTGGTCTCCCTCGCAATCATGAATGCTTTATGTAATATTGCGCGTGAGGTGACGACAAGCGTATCTACCTCCAGAAAGCAACTCGAAAGTGAGAAGAAAAAGAAGACGATAAACAAAGGTCGCGTGGAAGCAATTCAAAAGGCTGTGTCAGAGGGCGAACAGAAGGTGGAACGACTAGACGAGTTCCTGCAGGATGGGTTCGATACTGTATTTGTCCATCGCTACCGGGACATTGACGGTCAGATCCGTGCCGAATGTTTGACAGCTCTAGGCGGATGGATTCGCACATACCGAGAAATATTCTTTGAGGGCCAGTACTTGCGATACCTGGGATGGACTCTCGCCGATGTCGTTGCGCAGACCAGACTTGTCGCCTTGACTGAGCTTTTGAGCCTTTATGAGAACCGTGACAACCTTGCTGGTTTGCATTCATTCACTGAGCGATTCCGGCAGCGAATCGTTGAGATTGCTGTTCAAGATACTGACATTTCGGTGCGTATGGTTGCGATTGAGTTGCTTAACCACCTTCGTGAAGGGGGTTTACTCGAGCCAAATGATATTGACGCTGTGGGTCGACTGGTATTTGATTTGGACCCCCGAATTCGGAAAACAGCTGGACGCTTCTTTGTTGCCAACGTTCAAGATGCATACGAGTCAATCACCGAGGAAGTGGGAGAGGAGATCGCCGAGTTGCTGGCTGATGATGATGAAGACGACTACGAATCGCCTAAGCACTCATGGGTCAAGTTTAAATGCCTCGCCGAATTGTTCCAGGCCTACGATGCACAACAAGCCGAACAGCAATCTGAGCCAATGTCTCGCGACACACTGCTGGGAGCGGCTGTGGAGTCGCGCTTTGCTCTCGCGACTGAGGCTGTCTTCCCCCACCTGGAAGAGCTTTCTCAATGGCCGTCGCTGGCTGGTTATCTGCTCTATGACCACTCTCAAATTACTGATACGCCATCTGAAGATGATACTGCAGGAGTTGTAAAAAACATGTACAAATTGCAAGAGGGACAAGAATCTATCCTTCTGGAGGTGCTCTGTGCCGCAGTCAAACTCCGTGTTCTCGACATCGCTAAGTCTGATATCGACAAGCGTGGGCGCAAAACCAAGGCTCTGGCAGCCAAGATTTCCGAGCTCCAAGAAGAACTTTCTCACAACCTTGCTCAGATCATTCCAGGGCTCCTTAATAAGTTTGGGTCTACACCGGAAGCTGCTTCTGCCGTTCTGCGATTGGAACACCTTGTGGACTTGAACACAATTCAGGATCTACAAAAAGACGCCACGGCTTATACCTCGCTGCTCAATGATATCAACAAGCAATTCTTGACTCATTCGGATCACGATGTTCTGGCCGAAGCTAGTGTGGCTTTCTTGCACGCCAAGAGCTCCGAGGAGATGCGAGAGGCGCTCGAGGGCAAGGTCCAAGAGCTATGGGATGATATGGTGGAGGCACTGGCTGCCTTGTCTCGGAAGAAGGACGTCCAGGAAGGCGGCTCAATATCCGAGCCCACTCTCACCGATTTGACCAACACTGTCTGCCGAATCTCAAATCTCGCTGGAATCACAGATTGTGCCTCCATTCTCGAAACTGCCCCTAGTTCACGATCGAAATCCAAGAAGGACAACACTGAAGCCCCATTCAACACCCTCATTCGTCTTGCCGAACGTGGTCTGCGCAGCGAAGATGATGATGAGGATACCGCCAAGGCGGAGAACGAGCTGGTATCAAGCAGTATCCGGTCGTTGCTTTTCTATTTCATGTGGAAGGTGCAGGCACTGTCCACAGCCCTGAATGACGGAAAAGCCTCCTTCAACACATCCTACTTCGAAGCACTAACAAAGAGCCGCGAAACTTTCGCCTCAACGCTCGTCAACATCATGGAAACGCGCTCCGGGCTGGATGACCTGCGCTTCGCAGCAACCACAACATACCTGAGACCTGCAAACGCTCTTCAGCACACTCCGCAACATCGGCCAAGACAAAGGCAACGACGAAGACGTCCTGTTCCAAACTCAAGGACTAATCCATGAAATCGGACCTGAGACGCAGACCCTCATCACCAAGATCCACGGCATAGCCGAGCGCACATGCGCCAAGAAATCAAGAATCAACCTCGAACCCGCAGACGACGACGCCCCAGCCTCAGAAGACGAGCTCGACTCCGAAGATGAAGCCAGCGACTCCGAAGACGAAGCAGTCCTGAACGACCGCCTCCGCAGCAGCATTGTTGCCGAACAACGTCTCTGCGAGCTGACAGGCAAGCTCGTCCTCGCCATCATCGCCCGTATAATCGACGCCTCCGGCTCCAAGCGCGGCGCCCTGAAGAAGCGTCTCCTCCGTAACAAGACCGCGCTTGGCCACAACTACAGAGAGGTCCTGTCTTATCTGGAAGAGCGTAAGCCCCGCAGCGCCCCCCGCGCCAAGGGGAAACAGCCTGCCAAGCCTGCTGCTTCTCCTGCTAAGGGGTCCAAGTCTACTGAGCACGTCGATGATGACGATGAGAATGACCACCCTGAGCCTGTTGAGGAAGACGATGAGGAGGATCTGCGTGCGCGCGGACTTATCGAGGAGGTTGAGCATGAGAATGGGGACGAGGACGAAGAACTCACCCCTGCGCCTGAGGCTGATGAGGATGAGGTAATGGGTGACTGATCTAGTCTGTCTTATTCGACATTAACGTGTGCCTGAACAAAATGATCTTCTTTCCTGTCGTCTCATTGCTTGTTCTTTTTTGCCTTTTCTTGTTCCTTTTTTCTTTTTTTCTCCCTCCACTTTCTTCTCTCTTATGGATTATGGCTTGAATTAACTGTATCTCTCTTCTTTGCTCTCGTTTGCGTGGATACTTCTTTTCAACCTGTATCTTATACACTTCTCTTGATACTTGCTTTGCTGCTACTTCGCTGACTTGATCTCAACCTATTCCCCTCTGGTCTTCGCTGTAATTTTTGAAAACTTGATATGGCATCACAAAATAGTAGGAGAGAATTGGGTCTGCGTCCTTGGTATTTGTAGACCTTGATTTATTTCATCTTTCACTACCTTGGAGCTTCTTCTAGTTGGTATTTTAACATTGAAAGCTTGGAAGCCCAGCATCAAATTCATGTGCTCTTCAGAGGGAAAGAATACAAATACTGATCGTCTTAGGAAGATAAGAATACTACTGGAATACAACTACAGGAAGAAAGGTTGATCAAATGAAATCTGGCATTTTTTCCTGGCGAGCTGCAAAGTGTACCACGAGAATAGCGCAATAACATTTTCAAGGGCATGATTTGAGCATACTATGAGCGTGGCAAGAGCAAAACATGCCATCACACCCCCGTTGCCAGCGAGGAAGTTCCTGCGCAGGAGACCAATGCCCCGTCAAGGAACACCATAGTCAGGGGACATTAACGTAACTGGAGAGAGAAAACCGATCCTGCAAACAAATGCGCCTGTGTATGAGGATGCTAAAGGGGTGGGGAGGGGGATACATGATGGTGAATCTTGTTTATCGTGAAATCAAAAAAAGAAAAAGGAAGAAGGGGGGGGGGAGTGAAATTCGTGACAAGAGAAGATGAGGGAATCAAACGAGCACCAGAAACTGTTTAGAGGCAACGCCAGACCGAGAAGTAGTTTGGTCGAAGCGCACGAGAGGCGTCGAGGCTGTATGCGAGCAAGCTGGTCTCTCGGTAGCCAGTGGTGCCCCGCCCATGCGTGAATATGCTGGGCGCAGCTTCGACGTTTGGTTTTGAAAAAAAAATGGAAGAAGGTACAGGGAAGAGATAGTGCATGGGCAAAAGACAAGCCATTACATATCCATGCTATCACCGCCGTTGCCGAAGTTGAAGCCACCGGGTTGCTGCTGGCCAGTGCCGAGAGTGAATCCAGTCTGGGTCTGCTGGGGAGCAAGCTCCTCAATATCACCACCGGCCTCGTCCTCGTCGGAGAAGTATTTCTCGATAATGTTGTAAGCCTTCATGTAGATCTCCTCGTTGGCGTTGTTCTGGCAATCGTGGATCTTCTCCATGCCACCAGCCTCTTCGATGAAGAGAGCGTAGCGGTTGACACGAGCCTCACCGGGCTGGCCAGCCTCCTTATCCATGTCTCCGACCTTAAGGATGTTCTCGAGACCATCAAGAGCAACCTGGATGATCTTGTTGTCAGGGCAGGCCAGGAGATCGCACAGGGGCTTGATGCACCCTTGCGAAACAAGGTAGCGGATCTGATCAGGCTTCTGGAGACCACCGGAAGTGGCGTTGGAGATAGCCCAGCAAGCCTCCTTGCGGGTCTTGAAGTCACCATTGGCGAGAAGGTTGATGAGGGGAGCAATGATGCCAGCGTCGATGACTGCCTGGATCTGGCTGGAGTTGCCAGCAGTGACGTTGGAGATGGTCCAGCAAGCTTCCTTGCGGATACCATCCTTGGTAGAGCTCAGGAGGGAGAGCAGAGCAGGAAGAGAGCCGCAGTTGATGATCACCTGGGTCTGGACGTCATCACCAGTGACAATGTTACCCACGGAACGGAGGGCGGGGGTCTGGACAGAGGTAGAAGCGTGCATAAGGAGCTCCACCAGGCGACGGGGGATACCGGCCTCAATAACGGCCTGGATCTTGTCGTTGGCACCATCGGACAAGTAAGAGATAGCCCAGCAAGCATCGATCAGGACCTCGTCGTCCAGCATGTAGATGAGTTTGGCAAGGACGGGAAGAGCGGGGGCAATGGTGTTCCAGTCAGGCTGGGGAGTCTTGCCACGGCAGAAGTTGCTTAGAGTCCAAGTAGCGTTGCGGAGCATGCTCAGCTTACGGCCATCGTTGATGAGGTTAAGAAGCGGGCGCAGGGCACCGGCACCCAGAACAAAGTCACGGCAGTGAGGGCTGTCACCAGCAATGTTTCCGAGGGCCCACACGGCCTGTTCACGGACATCGGGCTCAGGGCTGCTAAGCAACTCGACGAAGATGGGGACGGCACCAGCTTCAATGACGACCTGGGTCTGCTGGGCGGAACCCGAGGCAATGTTGGTCAGAGCCCAGGCGGACTCAAACTGAACGAGGGTGTGAGGCGAGCGGAGGAACTCGACGAAACGGGCAACGACACCAGTCTCGATAACACGCTCGATAGGTGGGTTGCGCTCCTTAGAAAGCAATTTGCGGAACTTGGTGGTGGCCTGAATCTGCTCCTCAACTTGGTCGGAGAAAACTCCCTTCACCATCTGGGGAAGCTCGACGTTGAGCTAAATGATCCATTACGTTAGCTTGGTAATTTTCACGATGTTTTTTTTTTTATTGCAGTGGGGCACGGGCTCGAAGATCCGAGTTGGAGGGGCTTCGTGGGCCATGGCAACAGGGCGGTGAAAAAAAATTCCTTGTTGATGATCGCATCATAAAAACAAAGAAATCCCAGAAGACCCCGGAGGGGTGGCAACCACACCATGAGCCCGTAGAAATTCAAACAGGAATAGAGAATGAAACAAATCCAAAAGGATCAAAGAAAATTTCCAAGACCTACCTCACTCTCAATAGCACTGGCCTCATCATCACTCTCAGTGGCGGCAGCCATGCCACCAACACCGATTCTACCATCCTGGGTTTGGATACCACGTCTCTTGGCCAAGTTCTCATCACGCTTGGCCTTGCGAATCTCGACCTGCTGTTCTTCACGGCGGCGGCGGAGCTCATCGGGCTTGAACTGGTTCTTGGCCTTGAACTGCGTGCGGCGATGTTCGGGAATATAGCGTTCCGCCATGATGAAGATGGAAAGAAGAAAGTAAGCGCGCCGCGGTAATTATGTAGTGGGTGATGTTGAGTGGGCGCGCTGGGGGATGGAAGGAGAGTAGGAAGAAGGAAGAGGGAGGGATCTGATGTGGGGGGAGAAGACTTCTGTGGGAGGGGAAACGATCATATCACGTGATGGCTCATTTTATTTACATCCACGGGTTTGAGCAACAAGCTCTTCCTCCTTGAGCTCTTACAATTTTCCTTCTTTAGGTGTTTATCCAAAGCAATTGCTCTATGATGGATGTACATTGGCAAAAAAAGGTACATATTCTCTGAGTTGGTTTGTGATATCTCATCGGGAGCTTGCAGGACGCCTAACCCAAGCTCTTCCCATCAACGAAAGACATGGCTTCAGGTGATATAGTGGACGTTACCACAGCTTGCTCTTCACAAGGGAACTTCAATGTCTTGGGAGTTGTGGTCGACAAGCTATCACTATTTCGGACCAGAGGCTCGTCGGCATGCATCACATTCACCATCAAAGATTCTAATTTTGATGCACCGACCTGGCAAGGTGGTCTGAAAATCAAATATTTCAATGATGATGAAAGCTACCTTCCCAACATCGAGCTCAACGATGTAGTCCTACTACGGAACGTCCGGGTGAGTAGATTGACCTGAATGCAGCAGCATAGTAAGCTGATACGATTCAGGTGACAATTTACCAGAACAGACCAACTGCGGTTGTCTCTCAGAATTCCAATGTGCCATGGGCTATTTTCCGGCCAGAGCCAAGTTTGAGCTCAAGCCCGTTCATCACCAGCGGTCCTATTCCTTTCGAGCCCAGTTTGAAGGAAAAGGACCAGGCACAATCACTCCTGGATCGCGTATCTGCTGAGAGAATCCCTGTGCAACAACCCATGCCGCGCAGTGTAACCGCCTTCCAGCAACCTTCTCATGTTCAGGCTTCCGTTCCATCCCCAAAATCTGGAGGGTTACCGTGTGTCCCTATACAGTTTGCGAAGGATCGCCTATTGTGTCAGTTACTTGGCCAAGTTGTGAACCTCAATACTTATGACAGCGAGAAATGCGTACTATACTTGACTGATTTTACTGAAAATGAGCAACTTGTCGACTACAAGAAACCCGGAGAAGATGAGGACTCGGGCCCTGAGGGCGACCGATTTAATTACATACACAAGACGAAGAACTGGCCAGGCCCATGGGGTAAATTGACCATTCAAGTGACTTTATGGGAGCCCCATGCCACCTATGCCCGAGCACACCTCAAGCCAGGCGACATCACTCTAATAACATATGCCCGTATCAAGGAAGCCCAGCGTGGTGGCTTGGAAGCCACTGTTCATGAAGACAGACGATACCCGGAGAAGATCCATGTCAGGAAGGTGGATGGTGGCAATGACGAGCGTGTACGGGAATTGATGAACCGGCGAACAGAATACTGGAAAATCCACGGTGAACCCAAGGCAGATACCAAAAAGGCCAAAAAAAGGAACAAGAGAGTCGAGCAGAAAAAGGAGGCACGAAAAGAAGAAGGCCAACTAACCATGCCAGCAGCATCACGAATCAAGTTGAATCAACATGGTGAGTTGGTTACCTGCCTAGGAGAAGCATATTGGCTGATTACAGGTTTAGTCAAAATAAGAAATTACACAGTGCCAACTCTCCCTCTCGAGAAGATATTGTTGGCAGAAACACATATAAACAATGCTCCAGGGGGCATTGTCTACCAACTTCCCTTTCAGAACGTCAATTATCACTCTCAAGTCCGAGTGGTCGACTTCTTTCCCCCAAAGGTAGAAGACTTTGCAGTTCAAACCACTAGCGCTCCCTTGTTCGGCACCGAGAACGGTACCACCGAGCCTAAATATGGCTGGGAATGGCGGTTTTGCCTTCTCGTGGAGGGGGTTGAGCCCAAACCTTCCAAACAACAGCCCCGAGAAGTGATGAAGCTCTATGTGTGCGGCCAAGATGGTGATTTTCTTCTGGACGATTATGCGTTCAACCTCCGCAGCAACCCGCGAAGACTGGAAGCAATAAAAGAGAAGCTCTTCCTCCTATGGGGCAATCTCGAGGAGGAAAAGTCGAAAGCCATGGCTTCTGGTCAACAGAGTTGGGGACCGGTCAAGTCGTGCCCATTCGAGTGCTGCATCAAGGAATATGGCGTCCAGTGCACCCATGGCAAAGATCCCAATGCCATGGATGTCGACGGCGGGATGTGCACTCACCCTGATTGCTTTGGATGGGAGAGACGGTTTGCCATGTTCGGCACGACTATCCACACATAAATCGTACGATTCTCAAGTCTTGTAATACTATCGATTCAAATACCCCCTAAATAAATCTCATGTGAATTGATTCTTTATACTAATACAATTTAAAATTTCGAATCAATAGATAGATAGTACATAGAGTCTTTTGCGCCTGGAACCGCCTTTTTCACCCGCATGGAAAAATCAAACAACGTTGAATTCTCAATGACTGCAAGCCTGCTCTCATGCACCGTCCATAACTCCTGAATGATCGAAATTCTGATAATGTCATGGGTGCTTCCCTTGAACCTGTTCGCCGTGAAACCCTCAAACCCGGTCACGCCGAACTCAATAGACAATATTTTAGGACCCTATTGCAAGTGCGAAAGGCTCCAATAGCCCGAGGTGAGCATAAGATTCGAGATTGCCACTCAAATTTTCGTAACTTTGACAATGTTGGTGTCGATACCATGCGCCACGGGCTCAAAGCGGCAGCTGTCGCCTCGGAAGCAAGTCTTTTTACCAGGCTCGCTCTGAGGGCAACGGTGACCATAGATGCACTCGACGTCATCGCATTCTAAACCAAAGCGACAGGGCGTCATGCGGGCAATGGCAGACAGAATGTGCAGGTCTTGACGGGACAATTTGCGATCATGGTCATGATAGCAGTTCTCCTCATTAGGGCATTCACCAAGCAAGAAATGATAATTGCAAAGCTTGAGCTTCTTCAGTTTGTTAAGATCATCACGAGGAATGCTCTTGAAGTCGAGCCGATCAACACGCTGGCCATACTTATTTCGTTCCACCGTCTTTGGCGGGGTTGCACCAGGCACCTTGGACCGAACAACCTGGAAATCAGAAGACTCGGGTTTATTTGTCACTGGGGCCAATGGGGCGCCCAAATTTGACACACTGGTGCTGGTAGAGGTTCGTGACAAAGGAGCAGGTGTTTGGAACTGCTGGGTTGGCGAAGGTGTGAGTAGAGTCCGCGAGGGGATTGCGCTTTTCCAGGGAGCAGCCCAAGACGGTGCACTCGACGCATTCGCTGCGCTCGGTGTAGTCAACGTAATTGGAGCAATCTTTGTGGTGCGGAAAACATCTGGGAACTGGGTGATTCGATAGTCCTGCTCTCGGAAATAATCAAATTCCTTCTCGAGTGGAAGACCTTCAACCAGCGAGACTCGGCCCTTATAATTCGCACCAGAAATGAGTTCTGTCAATGACCGAGCATACTCTTCATTGGAGGGACAGCCCAGGAAGAGTTGATGGCAATGGCAGTTGTATAAGTAAAGCTTGAATGCCTCTGGAGGAAGCGAATCAGCAACAGTTCCTGTTATGTCAGGTTGTACCACATACCCTTGATTTTATCATGCGCCTTGTTTTTGCCGGTTCCAACGTCCACAATTTCAAAGAACGATGCACTCTCATTGAATCCACGAATAAATTCACTGATAGTGGAGGCCTCTAGGGTGATTCCTCCCCGGGCGTAAGTCTCCACAAGTCCCTTCACATTAAGATAGACCTTGGTCATTATCTTCGGCTCGGTGATCGTGGAAAGAATTGCCGTCACATAACTCTGGAGAGATTTCCAGAGCTGCTTGGCCGCATTGCGTCCACCCTGCTCTCCTAGTTGTAGAAATTCGTCCTTGAATATTATTCCTTCGCCGTCTAAAAGCAACACAACGAATGGTTCGCGGTCCTGGAAGGGAAAAAGGATATGTTAGCCTGCGCTTAGACAACGCATCCACAGCTTTGCTCACCATCATTTTCTTGACAACTGATATCTGGTCCATCAGTTCCATTTCATGCACCTGGACCTCACGATTGAACCGGGTTTCACGTTCATGGTCGAGTTTCTCTTGTTGGAAGGAATTCTCTAGGGCGGTCACACGTTGAAGAAGTTCCTATAATGAGTTTTGTTAGAATGAATCACGGACCAAGGGAGGAATTGGGTTCGTACCTCAATGAAGTCATTCTTCTGCTGGTCCAGAGCACTTAGCTGACGATAGCGCTCTAAATAAGCTTGGGTCGCCATTTTTGTAGATTGATGAGTATCTTTTTGAAGATTTTAAAGTGGTTGGAATTGCGAAGAGGATGAATGCGACAGAAGATAAGGAAGAAAGAAAGTAAGGGAGAGAAGCAAGTTTCAAGTCTGATCAAAGCCAACAAATTCCGGTGGGCAGGCGCTTGCAGGAGGTGACAATCTACAAAGCGCGTAAAGTGTTGGAATCACTGTAATCACCAATGATCAGTGATCACCTTTATTAAATTAATTGATATAGGGAGAGATTTTATAGTCGTCTTTGCTTGAAATAAAAAAAAAATCAATCTAAGACCGCGGGTGCTATCTGGCTGAGTCAGCACCCCGGTTTTGCATACGTGGAGCCAAATATTCCCCTTCACCTCGTCTTGACCTTTTGACCTTTACCTGTTTCTGTTTCTCTTTCTCTTTCTTCGCTCTCTTCCGGTTTCAAGATGACTCGCTTCGGTTTCCTCTCTCTGGCTCTATTCTCTCTCCAGGCCTTCGTTGGCACCGGCTTTGCTGCTGTATGTGTTTCGTCTTTGATTTGTCTCGGGGACCATGTCGCATGACTCAATTGACTAATTGTTTGGTTTTGAACTTGTAGGATACTGAGAATGCTGAACCAGAGGTTCCCACTCTGGCTGTCTCGGCCCAGGCCTCTTTCCCTGCTTCCGAGATCTTCGGTATCAAGCTTGTCAACGGTCACCCTACCCAGGCGCTGATCGCCATCTCCAATGATGAGCCGAACCCTATCACGGTGAACTTTGTCGGTGGTAGCCTTAGGAAACCCGATGATCAGACCCAGATTGTCCGCAACTTGACTGCTACTCGTTATGCTATCGAAGTTCCCGCTGGCGAGAAGGAGACAATCAGCTACAGCTTCGCCACCGAGATGCACCCCCAGGATCTCCAGATGACTCTTTCTGCCATTATTTCGGATAGCGAGGGCCGCTTGCTTCCTATTCTTGCCCACAATGGCACCGTTAGCATCGTAGAGGCGGATACCAGCATCTTCGACCCCCAGATGTAGGAACTCCCCTTTTCCTTGGTCGTGTGAGGGCAATGGGACTAACGATTACGATCAGCATCTTCCTCTACTTCTTCCTGCTGGCCTGTGTCTCTGGCACTGGTTACTTCTTCTACACCGTTTGGGTCGCTCCTTACTTCCCCCAGAAGCGCAAGTCCGGAAAGAGCAGCGAGAAGCGCACCCAGGGCTCAAAGCGCGTTGAGACACCGGTTACCGAGGAGACTTCCACCGGCGCTGCGGTTTCTTCTGCCAGCACCTACAACGCTGATTGGATTCCCTCTCACCACATCAACCGTCCCGAGGCCCGTAAGGTCAAGGGCCGCTCTAAGGCCCGTGCGTAAATGCACACGCGACAGTATCGCGGGTGAGGAAGGGGACAGCTCTGTTCAATGCATACCATTTTCAGAGTTCCTGTCCAGTGTGAGGGCAGCATTGGGCACGTGCTGGAAATGCACCGACCCCCCTCTGCTTGTCACAAGCGACATGTATATCTACCAAATAGACGAATTTTGGCCCAGTTTGGCTTCTACGGATGCCAAACAGGATCACTTTTTGGGGGCTCCAATCCATTGTATACCGTGCTGTGCCTGTTTTGGCAGTACTTGTATATCTTCGCAAGCACAGACCGATAGCTCACAGTTTCTTCCATTCTTTAAACTCCTGCTCCAGATGCTGCTTCAACTCCGCAAACCGATTCCCAAAGCCCCTGCCACAGCGCCAGCATGTAAAATCTCGCTTCAGATACCCCTCTTCCGTCGGATACCGTCGCACATCATCTTCTGCCAGTGGGAAGTCCTCGATTGGCACGAAGAACGGTGTAGAAAAGCTATTGTAGTGTTTCCGATGCTTCAAGCGCTCGCTATATCTGTCCACGGATAATACATGGACATGCAAGTGGTTCATGGATGGGACCGCATGCACCCCCACCACAATATCCTCTTCCCAGTCCCGACCCTGTGGTAGTTCGTTGGGCGGCGGATCAGCGCTCAGCGCCGCCTGCCTCGCCTGCTCCTGGGCAGAGTCCTTCCCATATTTGCGTCGCAGTTCACCCGCTGCCAACTTGCGCAGTGTTCGGGTTTCAGCTTTCACTTTTTCTAGGAATTCGGCGTCCTCGAACGCATCAAATGGATGCATGCGCGTTTTGGTCTGGTCGCGGGGGAGAAGGAGGAGGTGTAGTGATGACTTTGGGAACATGTCGTGTATCGCCACAAAATCGTCATTATGGTAGACTACGACATCGGGGCCGTAAGTCTCAGGCTTTGCGATGTAGGCGCCTAGTCCGTCGCGGACACTAAATGCAGCCTTGCCCTTGGCCGCATTTCGATCGGACGGGGTTTTAGTCGCGTGCTTAGGTTGCTTGCTTTTGGGAGCCAGGAGTTCGGTAACTGTCAGACCGATAATGTCAGTGAAGTAATTTTTAGTGAAGGCTCTGTGTATCATTATGTTGTACAAGCATTTCTCTTCTCCGTCCCAGTATGCTCCTTCGAGTCATTCTTGCCCAAACTAGGGTGTTCCCCGGACATTATGGTGTAGAAGTCCGACTTGAGGTCACACAGTAGACACTAGCTGGATCATTTCCCTTGAACAAAAGATCCAAGTATCACATCAATGGACTGAGTAAGGGTACAAGAGGGCATGATGTAAGTGGGAGTTTAAGTCCCCACGGTCGCTGCTTCCCTCAGTATGCTCCCCGCAATCCCAAAACGGTTTAGTGCGGGTCGCTCTTTTGCCTGAAGCTCCAAAAGTTATCTCTCACTCACCCACACACACAAAATGCCACCTAAGAAGAAAGGTGATGGTAAGGGTGGCCCCAAACCGGGTACCAAACAAGCCAAAGCCGTTGCAGAGAAAGCCGGCGAAGCGAAGAAGCAAGTGCCGGAGGAGCCCAAGAAACCGTCCGTGAAGGATGTCATTGGCGGCGCATCATGGACAGGGAAGCTACCAGTCAATATGTTGGCAGAGCATTGTCAGAAGCAAAAATGGGAAAAGCCTGAGTACAGCATGGTAATCGAATCTCCCAATAGCACTCGTCGCATGTCTACAAACCCATATACCACACTAGATGCTGATAGATTGCGACAATTGCAGATTAAAACCGCCGATGGCTTTGTGTCGTCCGTAACGATGAAGAAGATAGATCCTAAGACCAAGGAATTGATCGTGCTCCCACCGATAAAGCTCCCTCCTCCCCATAAGCAACTCGCTGGGCAGCCCACAGCCCTCGAAGCGCGCCATTTTGGTGCAGCGTTTGCTCTGTTCCGTGTATGCAATATGCGCAATATTCATATGATGATGCCTCCAACATACAAGAAATTGTGGAAGGAGGAATTTGGAGAAATTAAAGCAGCAGAGACTCGGGAAGGCAAGGGCTGGATGTATGAGGCAGACCCATTCTTAGCCAAGCAAGAAAGAGAGAGCGCGGCCGCCGATTTGGCAAAGAAGCGGGCAGATCGTGAAAAAGCCCAGTCAAAGGAGAAGGCCACGAATGTGGAATTAGGGCTAGGAAATGGGGATGCCAGGAGCAAACGTATCTGGTCACAGGCGCCCAAGGTGGATATGGGCACACGAATTCGACGAGATATCGAAGGCCTTTTGCGGCAGCATACAGTTTGGAACCCATATGGCGTGAAGATCCCTGAAAACCAAAAGAAAATCATTGCGGAAGAATTTACCGGTTTAGGGTTCCGTCGCAGCCATGTGGAAGAAGCTGCAGCGGAATGCAAAGACCGCGAAGAGATCTTGGAGTGGCTGCTCATCTATGTTCCTGAGGATGACCTCCCAAGATGGTCTCTACCGGAAGGATATTCAGCGGGAGTCAGCCTTGGTTCTGTTGATCTCGCTCGCGAGGCCAAAGTCAAACGGCTGGCATCTGTTGGTTACCCAGCCGATATGTGCTCGCAAATTTTGGACAGCAAGGATGGGGATGAATTGGCAGCTGCTGAGCATCTGCAAGGAACTTTAGCCCATGGAACTCAATTCTCGGCCCCATTAGTGGCGGATGAGGATGAAGAGGCTTGGGCAGAAGAAGCGACTACGCTAGAGGCCATCTTCGGAGAACGTTATCACCGCATATCAGCCAAGGTCTGCGAGATCAATAGTGAGGCATCGGAAATTCCACCAAACACAACTTTCCGCTTCCAAAAGCCCTCCGCCCATTATCCAACCACACCTCCTATTATATCAATCCAGGCCAAGGGCGTCCCAGCTTATATACGTCTCAGTGCAATTCGTCGGGCAGTGCAGTATGCTGAGGAAAACTTTACGGGTGAATCTATGATTTTCAACATCATGGACTGGCTGGAGATCAACCTACCGAGTATCATGGAGAACCCGGGTAAATTGCGAGAGATTTCCGCTGTGACGGCTTCGTCGGCAGCTGAGACCCTCCAAATTCCTGTGCGTTCGGCTCGGAAGAATCGCAGAGGTATTGATTGGAAGGTTGACTCGGAACGAAGCTTGGCGATCCGAGATGCTTGGGAGGCCAAACAAGATACTGCACCGCAGATCGAGATGACCCGGAAAAGAAAAGCACTTCCTGCATGGAACATCCAACATGAAATCATCCACGCTGTCAACTCAAATCAGGTGACTATCATCTCGGGTGAGACTGGTAGTGGTAAAAGTACACAATCCGTACAGTTTGTTCTGGACGACATGATCCAGCGAGGACTGGGCGGTGCTGCCAACATCATCTGCACGCAGCCACGACGAATCTCGGCCCTGGGTCTTGCCGACAGAGTCAGCGATGAGCGATGCGCAGTAGTCGGTGATGAAGTCGGATACGTGATCCGAGGCGAGTCGAAAGCTAAGCCTGGTTCAACAAAGATTACTTTCGTAACTACTGGTGTCTTGCTACGCCGGATCCAATCAGGTGGCGATGCGGATGGCAATGTTGCAAGCTCCCTCGCAGATGTATCGCACGTGGTGGTCGACGAGGTCCACGAACGAAGCTTGGACACAGACTTCTTGTTGGCGCTGCTGAGGGATGTTCTCAATTATCGCAAGGACCTGAAAGTTATTCTCATGAGTGCCACTCTCGACGCTGGTATCTTCATGAGATACTTTGGCAGTCAGAGATCTGTTGGACTAGTGAACATTCCGGGCAGAACATTCCCTGTCCAAGACTACTACTTGGATGACGTTATTCGGTACACATCATTTGCGCCAGAACTTGCCGAGGAGTATGAAGATGAGGAAGAAACCTCTCGGGGTGAAGAAACACTTGGAAAGGCGCTGCGGAGCGTGGGTATGGGAATAAATTATGATTTGATCGCAGCAACTGTCGAATACATCGATGCTCAGCTAGGAGACCAACCGGGAGCCATCTTGATATTCCTTCCTGGTACTTTAGAGATTGATCGGTGTCTGAACGCAGTCAAGAGGATTCCCGATATGCATCCTCTGCCATTGCATGCCTCCTTGCTCCCAGCCGAACAACGACGAGTATTCCAGAGCGCGCCAAGAGGAAAGAGAAAGGTTATTGCCGCTACGAACGTCGCGGAAACCTCAATCACAATCGAGGATGTTGTTGCCGTCATTGACACTGGTCGAGTCAAGGAAACGAGCTACGACCCTAAGGATAACATGGTTCGTCTCCAAGAAGTATGGGCATCACAGGCCGCCTGCAAACAGCGTCGTGGTCGAGCAGGCCGTGTCCGCGCAGGTATCTGCTATAAGCTATACACCCGCAAAGCCGAATCGAATATGGCCCCACGCCCAGACCCAGAAATCCGCCGTGTTCCCTTAGAGCAGCTGTGTCTATCCGTCAAATCCATGAAAGGCATCGAGGACGTTGCCACCTTCCTAGCCAACACAATCACCCCACCGGAAAGCATAGCCGTCGAAGGCGCACTGAATTTCCTGCATCGAGTAGGCGCTCTAGACCATGACAGACTCACAGCCCTGGGCCGCTACCTCTCCATGATTCCCGCGGACCTCCGCTGCGCCAAGCTTATGATCTACGGCTCCATCTTCGGCTGCATGGAACCATGCGTCACGATCGCAGCCATGCTAACAGTCAAGAGCCCCTTCGTCTCACCACGCGAGAAGCGCGAGGAAGCAAACGCCGCCAAAGCAAGCTTCTCCCGCCCCGGCGACGGCGACCTCCTCACCGACCTCTCAGCATACCAGGCTTGGTCCGAGCGAACCCGCGCCCCGGGCGGTTACTGGGGCACTCAGTCATGGTGCGTCGCCAACTTCCTCTCCCACCAAACGCTGCGCGATATCTCCTCCAACCGCGCGCAGTTCATCACCTCCCTCAAGGACGCAGGCATCCTGCCAGTCCAGTATTCTGACTCGTCGGCTTCAGCCTGGAACCGCAACGCAGCGAACCGCAACTTGATCCGCGCCCTTATTGCTGGAGCCTTCCAGCCGCAGGTTGCGCAGATCTCGTTCCCGGATAAGAAGTTCGCTAGCTCGGTTACTGGTACCGTCGAGGTGGACCCGGATGCTCGCACTATCAAGTACTTCAATCAGGAGAACGGCCGTGTCTTCATTCATCCCAGCTCCATCCTCTTCTCAGCGGCTGGCTATCCCAGTTCCGCGGCATATCTCAGTTACTTCACCAAGATGGCTACCAGCAAGGTCTTCATCCGCGATCTCACCCGTGAGTTATTCCTTTTCTATCTCTTGAGATATTAGCTTCTAACGTTCTTCTTTTCCTTGCTTGCAGCTTTCAACGCATACTCCCTCCTTCTTTTCTGCGGCTCTATAGAACTCGACACTGTGGGTCGCGGACTAGTCGTAGACGGCTGGCTCCGTCTACGCGGCTGGGCCCGGATCGGCGTGCTTGTTTCCCGGCTTCGCACAATGCTTGATGAGGCTCTTACGGAGCGGTTTGATAATCCTTCGGTTGTATCCGATGGCAGCAGTCTTGCTGATAGAGTCATTGAGGCAGTCAAGAAGTTGATTGAGTTTAATGGGCTTGATCAGTGATCTGCACAGGCAAGTGTTTGGGTTGAAAATAGATACAACACATATATCATAGATGGAAAAACAATCGAAATGATTTACGAGATACATCCCTGGTTTTACATAGAAAAAGTCGCCTATACTCGCCTTGTTCAGCAACGATTCATATAGGACTTTTACCATTATATTGCGGCAAGAGGCTAGCAAAATATGCAGTCTTCCTCGCTTGAAAGATACCATCAAGACCAAGGGGATGAACCCAACAAGAGTGAATGCCATGGCTGTAGTAGTTAGTTACTACCTCCATGTAGGTTCCAAATGTAGTTATAGAAATATGACGTCATATTCGACTATTACTAGCACAGTACAACATACAGCCCTGGAGTAGGGTGGCGCAACAGCCAGTCACTTGTGTAGATAGAGAGTGTATCAACGGTTAACCCAGTTACCACTAAGCCGTTTCCCCAGGACAAGACAAAAAGAAAAGAGGCATTAGAACGCCCGGTGAGAAAAAGATCATCGTCAACGCCTTCCGATCATTTACTCTCATGTTCGGAAAATGGTGGCGTCAAGTCATCTCGTCGTCAGCCCAGTAGAGCTGGGAAGAAATCAAAAGCATGAAAATGACAGAATGAAAGTGTGCAAAGGATGGAAATAACGCGCAAACGCCATGCATAAAGGAACCGATTCGCCAGTTCACTCCGAAAGAAATGGAAAAAAAACGCCCATGTTGACCGAAAAAGAGAAACGAGAAATAAGTTTAGAGATCGTGGATGGTGGTGAGTACCAGCAATCATGAAAGCCATGGGTATCTGCGAACCACCGGGGTATTAGTTTCGGGCAAGGGATTAGTAGTTTGCATAGCCGTCCAAGCGATCTGGATCATTGAGATCAGAAGGCTCTGGCAAAACGAAGTCCGAGGCAAGCTCAGATTCAACAAACATGGAAGCGCGCTTAAAGCGACGGTCCGAATACTTTTCAAAGATGGCAGCGTGGTGGCGGCGAGGATTCTCGCAGCATTCCATCAATGTGGTGAGTACCGGAATCAACTGGGAGTAAAGATAACCACTGTAAAAGGCGTGTGCCGGTGTCTATTTCTGAATGTTAGCAATATTATAGAGTGGGTTGGGGAGAGAAACATACCCAGTTGCCCTTGTTAAGCAGCAAGCGAGACAGGCAATGAGCTCCGGCAGCAATAAAGCTGGGGGGAGTGCAGACAAAGCGCTCATCCATAATAGCCAGCTCGAGGAAGTACTTGGCAACAGTCCGAGTTTCAAGGTCATATTCATCAGCCTTGCTAATACGACGAAGGAAACTCATAGGGCCAGGCCATCCAAGATCAAAGTCGAGGATGGTGAGCATGAACCGCTCTGCCTTCAGAATCTCGTCGACGGAATATCCACTGTCAACCATATACACGATCTCTTGCACGGAAGGGGCCGTGATCTCCTCGAACTTTGCAGCAATGAAGATCGCGGTCGCACCAACAAGCTGCAACTTGCCCATGGAAACTACCTTGTACGACAAGAAACGGTCAATGTAGTTTACCGTGAGGAACAGGGTTTCAGGGAGCAAGTTGAAGCGCTGGTGGACTTGAACAAGCCAGTCCATCAGAACCGAGCGCATCGACCACTGGAGTTCACTTTGACGGGCCATGTAATCGGGAACTGGAAGCATCTCGATCTACAGCCTTGGTTAGTTCGAGATGGTTATCGATCGAAATAGTAAAACATACCTCTTTCTTCCTTAAATGAAGGAAGATCTCGTCGCCATACTCCGCAACCATGGTAGTATCCAACAGTTCCTCCTCAATGTCTTCCGGTGATTGTTCACTTTCAACAATGTCTTTCGCCCGGAACATCTCGCGAGTAGTGATATTGTTCATGCATGGATAGATGACAGTAGTGGTTCCGTCGGCATCCCCACGAGAGGAGTAGATAGGTGCAACATGGTACTCGGTATCATCCCCGTCCCATTCCTCGGGTTCTGATACCGGCGGCACGGTTTCCTTGACATGCACGTGCTCTTTGGGATCCTCGGTCTCGGATACGGTGGCATCAGACTCGATGAGGCTGGCGATATCGACACTCAGCCCATTTGAAGGTTCCATCGCAGTATTGTTCGAGTGGCGCCCTTTCTCCATTCCCTTGTGGCTGGCCTTGGCCTCCGTCTCTGCGTTGATTTCCTTGGATGTGTCTTTTTCGGGGACAGTGTGCAGTTGGTCTTTGAATACGGCGTTGTTCCGCTTCGATTTATACGGCAGTTGAGCTTTCCCGGCGGGGTTCATAGGCTTTGTTGTGGCAACGCCTTCAACAAGACCCCTAGTTCCTGACAAGGTCATCCGGCGCTGCGCTGGTTGGGACAGTCCAGGAGCCTTAACCTCCGATAGGGCAGGCTTTCCACCAACACCAGAGTCATCCCGAGCCCGGCTCATGTCCTTGGTGTTGCTAACGTCGACAAATGCACGTCGGCCAGCATTGTTCTGGGCCATCATACTGAGAGCAGGGCTTGACTTGTTCCGTTGATGGATGACCTTGTGGTTCTGATGGAGGGACGGAGGGGGCACATTCTCATCCCCAATGACTCGGAAGCGCTGTGGCTGCCATTTTGGTTAGCCTTGATGCCTCCAACTCGTTTATGAATGAAGCAATCGTCTGACAAGAGTGGGCGAATACGTGATGATGCAATATCGAATGCGGTGTTTGACGCGATCAAACGCGTATAGAAGTAGAAGAATCGGACAACAAAGAAGACTAAGGTAACATTGGACCTACCTTTGCATCCATAATGATGAGCAATGAAAAGCTGCAACCTTAGAAGACGTGTTGTTCGAGTCAACCTTGAAGATGGGCAAAGAGATGTTGTTTACTTTTTGCTCAGTTGGGGGAATGGAGTTGCCCTGTGTGATTGGCGGACCCAGGCAAAATAAACAGTCGTAGGTATCCACTCAATTGTTCCTTCCCGATTTGTTGCAACTCGTCACTTGGACGTTACTTGCCCAGGTGGACGTTACTTTGGACGTTAGTTGGACGTTAGTTGGACGTTGCCTAGTGACCAACTCAGGTAAACAAATGAATGAGATGCTTACGACGAAAGGTGTCCCTTGTGAAGATGTGCCTTCTTAACAATGTACGCTATTCCTGAATCGGAAGCTACGGTCACGCACACCTTCCTGCAGTGCAAACTGTTATTGTCATAGTGTACATGTACATATGTATGTTGTAGGTATAGACGATTCTATGTACATAGTATACAGGCGGACATCGTTCAGAAATTGAGGTCCGATTATAGTCTCTTCTTCGTTATGCTATTCCCACTGGCCAAGGAAAATAGATATATTACAAAGCCTCAGTATAAGGACCACCTCCAATCCGTCTTCCAGGACTGCCAGATTACATATGTAATTAGTCTAAGCCAACCCGACCGGTTTGTTCCTAAAATCAATTTTTTAGCTCGGTCGTCCGCAAGTGTGGTTGAAGCAATGATGGCTAGTCCAGAGTAGGCTGTAAAAGAAAGACATTGGTCCATTGAGTGTGCATTCGGTCTATCGCAGTATTGAATTCCAGCCAGCCGTTACCATGTCATTTTTTCTACGTATGTACATAGAGATTGTATTAGAATACATGTATGTCCATCCACACATCTGGAACCGTGTTGAGTTCCCCAATGGTGGGTGGAATAACTTGTTCATAGCATTCAAGTATTCAACACACCTACTAGATACCTAGGTAATTCCTCTATGCAATAGCCCAGTGGTAGTGTATTTGTTCCTTATGTATTGCCTCTACCAGAGAATCATATAGTTATTCATGAGATATAGAAACCATCCAATTGATTTCATCGAGCTATAATCATAAAGATTAATGTAATACTTATCCGCCCCTCCAACAGATCACACATCACCCAATCTCACCACTCCCTTCCGGCACTCCCTGCCGACTGCGCAGCCATCGAGCCAGATGTGTACCACCGGCAGAATCGCCCCGACTCGACGGCATCCCAATCCCCACGACACGCATACCGACTGGCCTCTACAAACTCAATCACCTCCTTCGTCCGCCGTACCGCCCCGATACTCGAATCCCGCCCCAACCAGTAACCGGCATTCTCCGCGCATGAGGTTGGCGAGACGGTGCTGCGCGTCAGGCCGGCATTCATGTCGAGCGTGCCGGTGGTGCTGTTGAAGGCGACGTTGTCACCCTCGTCGAAGCTGCCCAGGTCGAAGGGGAGCGGGACGGGACTTGAACGGTTCACAACGGTGGTTTCGGGCAGGTCCATGACCGGGGCGAAGGCGGAAAAGCCGGCGGCTGTGTTGCCAATGCTGTGCAGCAGGAGGAGGATGTTTGGCGTTGAGGGTGACCGTGACCGTGAGTTTGGCGGGGAAGCCGGACAAGGTGGTAGGTTCGGATGGCATGTTGGCAGGTGAGAAGGACAATTGGCTTGCTTGTCTGGCTAGTATACAGTGCCGCGGCCGAGCTGTCTTGGGGCAGCTTCGAGCGTGGTCTGCTGCGGTGCGCGCGGTGTCCCACACCATTCGGCTTCGCCGATACTCTACTCGATGCTTCCTGCGAGGCCTGGCTATCAAGAGCTTTGAGGGACACACTGTCGCTGAAAAACCGGTTCTGTGTATAAGTGTGGCTTGGAGCCTGAGTCGTTAATAAGAGAAAACAACAAGAACCGCCAGCACCGCAAGATCTTGGTGTCTACAACGATGGGAGTAGAGTGGCAGATGGTGGGGTCCTTGTAGTGAGATGTACCTAGGTAATTAGTCTAGGTCCGAGGTTCCCATACATGCTTATATACAAGTATGTAACTTCCAAGGTTGTTATACTGATCTTCAACCCGTGGACCTTCCAAAGTTCCAAGGTTCCAAGGTTAGGACTTCCCCGAGCTCTGGACTCGATGGAAGTGTTAAAATGTTTGTTCTGTTTGTATACAGTTTGCATTGTTTGTTGCATATCTGACGTCATTAACCTTATCGGCGCGTCTCCTTCGACGTCCATTGAACACCATTTCCAATTAAGAAACATCCAAAACTACGTGTAAAGATACAAAAAATTATCGGTAAGTATATCCAACAGTAATACATAATTTCCGACAACATTATCTTAGAAATATCTATATTTGCGAGTGCAATCGCCCTTTTATGACATGATCTAGATCTGACGCGCTATCTACACGAGACCACGTGAGAGCCACACCGCCGTCACAAGAGGTGGGACACCCGGAATCAAGCGGTTCCTGTTTGGCAGCTTTGCGATCAACCGAAACCCACTCGTATCATTGCGACAGTCGTTGGCTTTTTCAGTCTCACCTGGTAGTGCGGGGCTTTAGACCAGCGTAAATTGGAAGATTCCGAGTAAATTATAGACAATACCCACGTTCATACCCACGTTCTCGGATCCGATGATCATCGTCAATTCATATCCAAAGGACCTTTTGCGCCCAGTCTCTCAGCATCACCGCCTGACTCCACCAAGCAAAAATGTTCCCCCCTTTTGATCGGCTAGTTCCTTGAGAAATCAATAAAACTGTGGAATCACGGATTTGCTATATTCCGTCCTCACTTTCGTAGCCAGGTCCCAAGGAGAAAGGAATGCTCTGTAACCCCGATGCGGGATTCCCTTTTTAACCTTCTTACGTAGGTCCGAGGAGGGGTAAATCCAAGTTGCAGATCATGCGAGACAACTCCAGAGAGTCATGCGATATCATCAAAGGGGTTATCTTGGGAATTGAAACGGTTTGGTTCTCTCGATATCCTTTCGGTTGAGTATAAATATCCAAGTCCGGTCCTAGAGGCGGATCAGCAAAACGTCTATCAATCACCCCTACTTCAGCGATTTTGATATTAGACCATATTATAAGTGTCGCGATATCTAGTATTTTCCAATCCGCATAGTAAATGAGCAATGCGACAAAGGTGGTGGTGGGAAAATGACTGGATAATGTCATTTCTGTCCAAGCGCACACCTCCACAACAGTACCCAAAAAAAAGGGTATGGGTTGCTACGTGGTCAAGCTAGAAACTAGCTGCAAGCCCATAAATCTATTGGGCGCTGTTTCTTTATCTTGTTCTGCGCCCTTAGCCCTCGATACCCTGGACACTTGTGGCGACAGAGGTACCTAAGCTACCTGCTTTGTGTGAAGCGCTGCATCCTCCCAACAGTCCTAGGTAGCCCACACTCGCTTACACTTCATCCCTGAAGATTCAAATGTCGGATTATATTCTCAATTCCGAACATCATATGTAAAAAGGAGGGTTAGACAAAGTGCTCCGTCACTCGGCGCAATGGCATCCGGCTTGCGACAGCTTTTGCGCCTTTGCGAAAAGATACAGCATTGGGATGGTTTCACACATAGTTATTTTTTTCGATGCATAGAATAGTTGCAAATCAAATGAATATTGTATATAGATTCGTTAATTCCATGGAATGTGATGGCTGCTTCGATGGGCGCCGGAAGCGCAAATCGCCATGTCACCGACCCAGGCAGGCCGTTTTCTCGCTTTAGGTGAAACCATCGTACGCACCCACCTCAACCTTCTTCCTTCCATCCAACAACCCCTCGAACAAATCGCCATCAGTGCTGTCAAAAGTATAGGGTATGTATCTCTACTCTTGTTCAATCTCATTTTTCACTCCCCTGACCCCGTTTCATTCCTGGAGATGCCACCGCTGACATAGCCTCAGCGCTTCGTAGAATCGACAATCCCCTTCTCGACCTCGACCGAACCTATCCTTCGCCCCTTCGCCCTGTCTTGAACAATCCAGGTATCTGCGATACTGGAGGACTCTGTTTGAGTTGAATTAGGTGTGTTCAAGTCTCTCTCCATTCTTTTCCGGGTCCTCTCGCTTGCTTCCCCCAAACCCGCTCCCAAGGTCGGCCGGACTCGGTTAGCGACACATTCGTCCATCATCTTCCAAGACAAAACCCATCCTTATTGTATATTCGAGCACTTGGAACCCCATTGTGTTAACTTCTGTGGTCTGCTTTCCTTTAGGTTGCCCACGTTTACCCTTTTGAGTCGCTTCCGGCTCTTGCGACTGCAGATTCCCCTCCCACCTCCATCGAAGGTTTTCTTCGACAGTTTCTATACATAAAGACCCGGGGGTGGTTCATCCACCAGCCTGATATTTCGAATTCAACAATTGTGGTAGGTTTGATGGATTCTTCCCTCTACACCTGCCCTTCCTCTGTGTCTTGCCATGGATCACATTCCCGCCCTCTACGGCACACAAGCAGTGGGTTGATGCAGTCTTTGGTATAGCAGTGGAGTATTCCTCAATTTGGAACACTTTGATATGCAAGCGGTTCAGCATGAAGGGCTTTCTGGCCTGGTCGAGCAACCCGGTCTGGCAGACTCTGCCACTGTAGCTCGAGACCTGTCGCTTAAAGGCCCGGCACCCAAGAACGTCGCCTTTGAGTTGCTTCTCGATGAGAACTCCAAAGTCCGAGCCCGCATTCCGATGCGCGTTCAGATCTATCCTCATGACACCACAGACTCGATCGTCACCACGGTCAAAAATTTCTATGGAATATATGACGGTACTGCCAGCGGGGTCAGCTTCGAGGATGAACATGGGACCACCCTCATCGCAAGGTACGAGAATCTCAAGAACAATAGGACTGTATACGTGCGAGTCATTCCCATCCAACCATATGGGGATCACTTCTATAACGGTTTCAATGTCGAGCCTCGCAAGCGGCCAAGTCTGGCAGAGCCTTTCCAGATGGTAGATGGAACTGCGCCATTGGATCAGCCGTCACGGCCAGCCTCTCGACTTGCAAGAAAGCGCAGCACCTCTCCGTCTAACCGGAGTCTCCGCAGCGCTTCTCAGCACAAGCCTCCCTCCCGCGCGGGTAACAAAAGCCGGACCTCGAGCAGCCATGGAGGTTTCCATGATGATGAGGACTATAGCGATACCGAGAGCGCTTATGCTCGCAGGGCTCGCAATGAGCTCTTTGCTAGCTCTGATATCAGCATGGAGAATATACTACAAGATGGTCGTCGGAAACGACCCAAGTTCGATAGCTCTGTGAGTGACTCATGCGAGAGGACTTGTCTTGTGCTAAAGGCTGTCACTAACCAATTCGTTCCCCTTAGGAGCTCCCACTGTTCGTTCCTCCCCAAGTGCCCCTCACTACCTCCACCTCCTCCATCTCTCCCCAACGCCGATCAATTGGTCAGGAAGGCGCTGGGTCGCCTTTCGCACGTCCACCGCAACGCCCGTATAGCTATCAACATGCGCTTCCATCGCCGCAAAGCTATGGTCACAGCGAATATGGCCACTCGGGGCGCAATACGATTTATGCGACTCCCGTGGTTCCGGACCATGGAAATCGCATGCGCGACACGGGAGCCTATAACAACTCGGGTAGCCGAGTAAGTGGTCCAGGTGTATTGCCCACACCTGACCCTACTATTGCAAGCTGTATCTCCGATGAGGATGTGGCGATGCAATTGATACGTTTAGGCGATGCGTCCAATTTCTCCCATGGACGCACCTCTGCCTCGACAATGGACGATGCCTTCAGTGGTGCCGCTGACGCTGCCTCGTCCACTGGTGCTACCAGCGATGGGGAAGACTTTAGCGAGGACGAGGATGACTTGCCAGCTCGTCGCCAGAGGTTGGACTCAAGCCCAATGCTGCCGCCGGGGACCATCAAGCGCCACCTCAAGGGCTTGGATGACATCCTTCCCAGTGCCGATAGCAGCGACCACAGCTCTGATGGTGCAGATGATGGTATCAAAAGTGAAGCTGAGGAGGATATCCTTTACAAGGAGTTTGCACCCAAGGCAAAGAAGCCGAAGAGCCGCCCCACATCCTGCAAGGTTCGCAGCCAGAAGCCTGCACCTGCGAAAATGAACAAAAGTAAGACTGCTATGTCCGCTCCTCGCAAATCATCCGAGAAGTCAGCTGCGCCTGTTCCACCTCTCAGCCCGGCGTCTTCCCCGAAAGGTCTCGGGAGGCTCGGTCAACTTCCAGCACCAGCTCGGTGCGGATGAGGAAGACCTTTCCACCAAGCCTCGCTGCCAGCGGTGCCGCAAGAGCAAGAAGGGCTGTGACCGCCAGCGCCCCTGTGGACGTTGCAAGGATGCAGGCATTGGACTTGACGGCTGTCTCAGTGAGGATGAGGGCAATGGTCGCAAAGGGCGTTACGGTCGCCATATGGGTGTCCCTGTGAAGAAGAACGGGGAAGAGCTAGATGAAGACGAGGAGTTTTCATTAACGCCTGCGACCCCTCCTATCTCTTCGTCTGTAGCAGACAAGAATAAGAAGCGGAAGCGCTAGTGGAGCTGCAGGTCGCGATTGCTCCCGCTATCTCTAAGCGCCGAACTGTTTCGCACCTCCGATCTTCTTCCTGACCATGGGATCTCTCATTCATCTTACCATCCTCACTATGGGCCAATCTCATCCGCCTTCACTCTCTCATTTCGCCTTTTCCTGGCCAGCGCCAGAGACAGTCCTTATACTAGCATACTACCATCATTTGCCCTTCTCACTCCACATTCCCTTCTCTGGTTTACAAGCCATGCTTCCTCCATTATACACTGCCAAGCGGTTGATCTGTTGTTGTTGTGTCCCTTCGGCGTCTTAGTGTTTCTGCGGGCTATATGCTTCTTGTCACATCCACTCACTCATTCGGAATCAATGCTACTGGGTTATTTATCATTGTCTATGTCGGTTTCATGTGTGTGGTGTACGGTCGGCTAGTAGCGGAAGTATTATATACTTCCGAGGCTGGGCTAGGTTAAAGCGTGGCAAGTTGTAGAAGATGTGCCGATCTTGCTTTATTTCGTCTTCTTGGTAGTCATGGAGTCAATGGAAGGATTTCAATATTTAATTGCGCACTCCAATCTTCCAAAATTTCATTTAGTATCTTCATAGGCCTGCACAGTATAATGTCGATCAGCATGGCGGGATGAGTCACCTGACACGGGCGGTGTGATTGGGCCCCGCAACTTTTTTGAAGAGCTCAACTTTGTCGAACCTCAAAACGCTCGCATTTCTGTTACGAAACGGCGCTTTGCTCATTTCCAGTCGCATTTTCGTGTGTTACCGGTACAGACCTAGTTATTCCAACGCCGAGTCTGCATATAACGCGGTGCGCAACCGAGCTCCTCTACACGAACTTTTCTCCCACCGCCCAGCAAGCCGCATTCAGCGCCTTGTCTGAAAAGCGACGACAATGCCTCCCAAAGCCGCCTCTCGTGGAAGCGCCCGTGGAGGGGCCGCCAACCGCGGTGCTCGATCTGACACAACCACTCCGACTCCCGCTGGCGGGGGCGCTGCGCAAAATGCTCCCACGGCAACCGGCGCGCCCGGTCCTGCGAGTCGAGCCTCGGTGCAACGGCTTCAATCACTGAACAAACGCACTCCTTCCGGTAGCATCCCTCCCAGCAGTCGGCCCCCGTCAGTGCTCGGTGGTGAGCCGCCCAAACCAGTCTTGAAACACAAACCGAAGGCCGTTGGGCGTCGCAGCAAGCAGGAGCGAGATGAAATAGAGAGACTTGAACAAGAACGGCATAATGAGCGTCTTAAGGAGGCTGCCGCTATTCAGCGAGGCCGTGGTGGTACTGCTCGCCGTGCTGGGTTCCGTGGCCGTGGTGGACCCATGGCTATGGGAATGAGTGGATTTGGTGGACGAGGCGGCAAGCGAGGCCGTGGTGGCTTTGGCGGCGGAGGTGGAGGTGGAGGCGGAGGATATGGGGGAGGCTCTGGCGCTGCAGGCTCAGGATACAATCGATCTGGCCTCACTGGGGGCAACCGCGGGCGCGCATATGACTCTTCGGATGACGAAGAGAATGAACTCCGTGTCAGCATCGATCATATCAACCTCGATAGCGACGAGGAGGACTGGGATACGCCGAAGGATATCAAGGGCAAGCAACCCAGCAGGCCGAGGGGCGGGCTTCGTCCTGTCCGTCTTGAGCGGCATGAACACGAGGAAAGAGTCGTCAGCGTCAACATGGAATCTAGCACAAGTAGAACTGCCGATCTCCGCAAAAAGGCTGAGAAGGAGAAAGCTGCGAAGGATGTCGGCCGTACACCTACCAAGGTCAAAACTGAACCTCAAGATGACGACACAACTATGCCGGATGCCATTCCACACGCAGATGATGACGACTTCCTCCCGGAGCATAACGTGCGTGTGCGCTCAGCTCAGAGTATGAGCCCAACAAAGAGGAGCACAACAGAACTACGATCGACTCAAATCACGCCTGAGCCCGAAATCCTAGACCCACGAAGCCTACTTCACACTAAAGAGGAAATCGACGAATATGACCGACATATGGAAGATTTGGCTATCATCAGGGATCTTCTTGTTCCCAAGGAGTCAAAGAAGGCCAACACAGAAGCAGAAACCGCCGAAGGAGCTACCGAAAGTAAACCCGCCGCAGTGGAAGGACAGGAAGATAACCAAGCGAGCGAAGAGAAGGAGGAAGAAAAGGAGGAAGAAAACCCTCTACATGGCCAAATGTTCCTCATGCAATTCCCACCGATGACTCCCTACCTCAGAGTCGCTGGTTCCGCCCAAGACAACCAACATCAAGCTGCAGCCGCAAGTGCACCTCCCCAGAATGAGATCAAGCGCGAAGCTGGCGATGACGTGGAGATCCTGGACAACACCAAACCAGTCGAATCAAAAGACAACAGCGTCATCACAGCCGGCCAACCATGGACTCTTCCCACAGGCCGTGTTGGCAAATTGAACGTACACCAGTCAGGCCGTGTGACCCTAGACTGGGGTGGAATCAGTATGGAGTTAGACCGTGGAGCACCGGTTGGCTTCGTCCAGGAAGCTGTCATCTTGTCAAAGGCGCCACCTGAGCCGGAGGAAGACACAGCAAAACATGTTTGGTCTATGGGCCAATTGTCTGGCAAGTTCACAGTCACACCGAACTGGGATGAGATGCTTTGAACCCTCTATCCAAGGTACCTTATGATGAACGGAAAGAAATTCGAGCGAACTTGTTACAGCCATCCTTTTTGTTATGAACTTGACAATCACACAAACTAGATACACTGGGGTAGTTGTTCCTTTCCCTCCTAAAGGATTCAACCTGCGACCCCAATAGATTATATAGTGATATCAAAAGAGATGAAAGCTTTCCGTTCGAACATGTAGTCACGTGATCATACTTGCTTGTGCAGCCTTGGAGGGCTTAGAGGTGGTTAGCTGTTCTTCCGCTCTCCTCTTCTTTTCCCTCTTAATCTCTCTTTCTTAGAATACACTTGTACTGTAGGTATGCTCTATTTCTTTTTTCGTGTGAAGGCAGGGCTGTGATGCAGCTTAGTAATTTCCATGTAGGCCTGGGAATCTAGGCACTAACAATGCCAAGGCTAACTATTTTGCCCTGGGGCAAGCTACCGCGGAGTTTGTTTGCGCGCGTCAAGTTCAAAGTATTTGACCACCATTACATCCTCCATGCCCAAGAGCAACTACGGTCGAGCACAAGCCACAGGTCGGCTCAATTCAACTGCACGCATTCCCTCTACAATGCCTGCATAGGCCAAATCAAGTATCTCCGGTACTACACGAACCTTCGCCATGTCGCTGCGTCCTCTCGGATATCAATGCAACATATCCTATGCGCAATTCTTCCGCAATGGATCGCAAACAAGACATAATATAACGCAACGTTTAAGGTCCTTTTCTCAGCTGCGCGACGCCCATTGCACACATCGCTGGTCTGCGACAAGTCCACATGCCAACAAAGCTTCGCTTTCGCTACGGAGCTTGCTCAGTGATCTCTTGAGACCTGCACATACTCTCCAGGCCCATGGCAAGGGACCATGGGCTCAACAATGTCGCCACGAGACTTCTGCAGCCAAAGAACCGGAACTCTGCGCGCATTGCGGTGGGATAACTATCCCCAAGGCCAGAAGACATGTCGAACCTGGTAAACATTCCAGCGGCTGGCACTGCAAATCGTGTATTCGGAACACCCGTATTCATGGCCATCTACCAAATGAGGAGCAGCTTGCAGCGATCAATCAGCGGAAACTGGCCAGGGCATGTGGAGAGGCAAGCAAAATGAGTCCATGCAGGCACTGTGGCGAAATGACTGCTCCGAGAAGTAGCCGTAAATTCATTGATCTGAATAACCCTTCTGCTGGGTTTCATTGCCGGACATGCGTTAGACACGTCAACTATCACGGTAACCTTCCAACCGAGCAAGATCTCGCAGCGCTCAAGTACCGCAAACAGATACGGACTAGGCGCACTTCTACCGCCTCAAAAAAAACTGCATCAGACAATTCGAGGGAAGAACCCATGCCCCACCGCCCTTCCAGGTCCCTCGGCCGTCCCGAGTCTCCCAAACAGATGAAACAGAGCCGCGGTGAATACCCCTGCGTGCACTGTGGTGACATAACCGCCTCCAGCAGCAAACGCAGGCTTGTTGAACCCCAGAATCCCGCGGCAGGTTATTATTGCCAGCCATGCACACGGTCTCTACTTGTAACAGACGCCTTGCCCAGCACCGTCAAAATTGCAGCGCTCCGAAAGCTCAGAGCGACGCGTATGCAAAGCAGTCCCCGAGTATTGAAAAGCCCCTGTGTCCACTGCGGTGAGACCACTGTCCCTAGCAGCAAGCGCCGACTCGTCGAGTCGAAGAACACTCAATCCGGGTATTACTGCCGCGCCTGTGCGGACTGTTTAACCCAAACCAATTCCCTACCCAGCGAGGTACGCCTTGCTGTTCGCAGAGCGCGAGAGCAGGCCAGGCTGAAAAACTTACAGGCCAGTCTATCTAAAGAGTCGCAGTCCCCGGTCTCTCCGCAGGACGGAGAACCTACACCAACACATACGCCCACGGACAATACCGCAAAGACTTGCGCGCACTGCAAAACCGACGAAAACATGTCGAGCCTCTGAAACTGGACATGCGTTCTTTGCGTATTGGGCATTTTAATCTGAACGGCCCATTTTTGAGACTGGGTAGACTTTTGTGTAGGGACAGCGTGAACAAAATCCCGGGCTTCGCATTTCGAGCGGATATCAAGGTTGGTGGACGGTTGGATTGTTACGAATGCAACCACCGCATCCTCGGAACTCTACCCAGCATTGGAAAATCGATGGTTCATCCTTTGACCTGGTTCGTGATGCCAAGAGCAAGGATTCTAAATATCTTGATTTTGGTATCGCCCATATATGCGCGTCGTCATCCTCCCTGCGGGGCGTGCTCGTCTATTCGCTCGAATTTCGCGTCTGCATTGACGATCATTTGTGGCGCTGTCCGTTAAGCTTCAGGATGTTTTGGAGCTATAATTAGAACTTCACGGGGAAATGCGATTTTATTGTATTTAGAATATGGACTATGTACTATGTATGCTATAAATGCATACGTGAAGATGAAGATGCAATTATTGAATCACCCTCACAGTAAACCTTGGAAATTAAAGGATTTTAAAGGATAAATAAACACCGGATAGCCTCAGACACGGGAAACCGGGTAACCAATCAGAGCCCACGAAATCAAGGGACTGGCCCCACTCTTGGACGGCCCAGGGACTCTGGGCCAAAGACAGCCAAAGAAAGCCAAAGAGCGGCTCGGCCAATCAAACCCTCGTTCTTACTGGCTTCATCTTGATTTTCCCTTAATCTCCCTTCCCCCCCCCCCTGGGCTGTTTCGGTTTTTCGAGGGTTTTCTCTTTCTTCTTCGTTTTCTCTTTCAATCCTCCTCTACGGCTAAGAGTGAGTTGGATTCTGACAATTGAGAGAGTGAAGGCGAAACACCCCGAAACACTCCCCTCTCCAGTGTTTGGCCCCCTATTCCCCAGTTGCCTGACTGCGACAATCCAACACAGCAACCCACTCGAACTTCAGTGGCATGTTCTGAGACCATCGCAACTTATATTCGTGAGACTCATCTGAGTAACATCACCACTTTCAATCTCTCCACCTCCATCTGCAGCACTGTTGCCTCGCCAACTTCAGACCCCCGTCCCCCACGACCCGCACCAGCCAGCTTGGCGTTGCTTGTTCCTCATAGGCAACAACGCAAAGCATTTGCGCGCCAGTCGATTCCCATAGTATACATCTATAACTCTCTCCACAATGAAGCCATCCAACTTCCTGGCCTTCCTGGCCCCGGCCGCCGTCCTCGCCGACTCACAACAACCCGCCGCAGGCGCTAGCCTCTCCTCCGACTTTGCGCACAACTCGCCTGCCGTCTCATTACCAGAAATCGCTGCGCGGGAACAGTTCGCTCCATTCGCGGAACGCGACCTGCCGTCCGATGAGATGCGCATGCTCGCTGCTCGCTATGTCCTCCAAGCGCGCAGTGAGGGTTTCCTCGGCCAGACCCCGTGGATTGGCATGGCTATCGGGTTGACCTTTACTGCCCTGGCGGCTGTAATGCTCGGGTGATTGTTGGCGTGGATTGCTTTGAACCGAACCACAGCTTGCGATCCTTTCGATACATACCTTTTTTTCCACCTCAGCCCTACTTCTTCTCTTGACACGACACGTGAAACGCCGGGCACCGCTCGAACTTTGTTTATCTTTTACTCCGCTCGACATATTTCTGCGACCCTTCATCTTCATTTTCATTTTTCTACGGTCTTTTGCAGCGGATTTTTACTATTTTTGTCTATTTTTGCATCCATGGCCTTGTGTTCTGGCGTGGTATTGAATCTTTGAGCCTCCCTTTTTTTTCCAGCTATTGCATTCCCCGACTTGCTGAGCTACTTTGTCTACTTGGTACTGTTGGGGGTATAGAGTTGCATGTTGTACGCATGTTGTACATGATACCTTTTTGTTTCTGATGCAGATTCTCCCGTTGGTACGGAGTACATGGGATTTACCTAATTAGTATATATAGATATGCCCAATACGAACTGACTATACGTTTTTACTTTTTACTTTGATTGCTTTTCTTTCAGACTCGATGTTCGTTAGTCTACGCCTCTTTAATGGACTCGGACTCGGGGTGAGTTTCTTTGTTGCTCGAGATTCAGGGGTTCACCCTCAAAGAAAAGGTATGTTCTGATCTTCCTTCTTACTGTGCTATTGGTTCGAGGTTTGAAAGGAACCTCCTTTTCTTTTCTCTTTTCCATGTTGACTGCAGGTCAGCAAACCCACTGCCAGGACCAAGCAGAGACCTGGGGAGCTGTCAGATTCCTGCGCTGCGCTCTACATTGATTTATTCTTTGATTTCCTTCATCAAGCTCTCTTCGAAATACCATTTGGAAGGGAGATCTTTCGTCTTGCTAGGAGTGGGTATATACCCTCGCACTCGGCTCAAAAGACATATTCTACAGACCTCATCATGGCCTCAGACGAATACCCACCTTACATCCCGATGCCCTCGCTCGGCCACGAGCTAGGGCTAATGTTCGGCTTCTTGTCTCTCTGTATAGTGGTTATGGGTGCATATGTTGCTCTCTGGCGTGGTGAGTTATCCTCCAATTTTCATCTATATCTCTATATCGATACAAATATCTACAATTCCGTCTGTGGCCATATCAAACAACATGCACACAGACGCATTCAATACCTTAATACCAATTGTGACCAAAAACTACATTACCCTAACGACCAATCCCAGTATCCCAAACCCGCCTAGACGCCCAAGACCTCGCCCGCCGCAAAGCCTTCCGAAACAAGAACCCAGCCATAGGAACAACAACTTCCATAACAGCAGGCCGAAGCCCAAGTCCTATTAAAAACACAACAGTCACCCCAACCCTCAAAACAGCCGCACAAGAAAAAATGCTCGACCGCGTCGTCCTGCCCGAGAACCGTGCCGAGCTACCAGTCCACGGGATGGAGATGTACGCGACGAAGGGGAATGCGAGCACATCGCAGATCAGGAGTCCGCTTGGTCAGTCTATGCTTAGTCCTGTTAGCCCTGTCAGTCCGCTTGGGAGTGGCGGGCTTGCGGGTAGGGCTGTTGGTTCTATTAGTCCGGTTGGGGGTGGGATTGCGCTTGAGTCTATTGTTGGGATGGCGTTGGAGGGGGGAAGGAGTCTGGGTCAGGCCCCTTTTCGTGATGGATTTCGGTCGGCGAGTCCTGCGAGGAGGTTTGGGAGTGGGAGTGGCCCGGCTGTTGAGATTGGGCCTGCGCCTAGTCGGGAGTAGGGCTAGGGTTTATGATGATGCTATATGTTATGTTGTATGGGGGCTAGGAGGGGAATTAGGGCGTTGGGCTTGTGTTGATATTTGGGGTAATTTTGATGTCTGTAGGGCATAACTTGTCTATTCCCTCCTATAATTATTATTTTGAAACCTCTTGCCTATAGTTTACATTATATCGTACACCAGCCGCTCCAGATCTATCCACACACAGGCTCGGCAAACCCACGCGTCCACAACAACGAGCCCATGATAACAACTAAAAACCCAAGCGCGACAAGCACACTGGCACTTCCATACAAATACGAATGGCGCCGATGAGCCAATCCTTTCAACTCAGCAACCCAAGTACTGATAGTAGTCGTGCTCCCGCAGAATCCATCCATAACACCCTGCAGCACCTGGCAACCCGTTAGAGCAGCAGGAACCACCGCGCCAAGACCACTAACATGCTGCAAGTCATAGCAAAGACCCTCGATGATAGTGCCAAAGATATTAACCGCAAACGTGCCGAGCGGAAAGGTCGGAATCCTGCTATTCAGGTGCAGCGATACGTAGAACCGAAGGAGACAACCAAGCGGCGCAAAGACGAGAGCGAACACCGCCCGGCCGCGCCACACATTCGGGCCATTATGTCGGTCTGGCGGCCAGATGGCCAGGAACACAGCTCCAAGCCAACATCCCCAGGCAAGCACGACCACAACACGGTCGAGGACTCGTCGCGTGAATGCAAAGGGTACGGTGGGTGTCACACGGGTTAGAGCCAGAGCAAGATGCGCGCCGACGATAAGCGCCGACAGGCTCAGCGACACGGTGAGTATAATCACAGCGACCAGCGCCATAAAGCTATACCCGCCATTACGGGAGGCGATGTGGGATCCAGTAGGTAGCGATGGATCGGGGAGGGCATTTGCTAGGGCGAGGAAGACGTCCCGCATAAAGGATGAGAAGGAGGTGAAGCAACCGCAGAACCCGGTCGTTAGACCAATATACAATGGGATTGTCTTCTTCACAGCCAGGTGGTTCTTGTTCCTAATCTTGGGCTCGATCTCGACTGCGTCCGGAGCTGGTTCTTTCGCTGATTTCTGGCCCCACTCCTCGCGGAAGAGATTCTGGTCTTCGCTCAGAAACCCCATTACCAGGCTTCCGCTTACATTCGCCCATAGCACCCCTGTCACGACGGGGGCGCCTGTGTAGAATGTCAGTGCCTGTAAGCCTAGGCGGGCTAGTGTGCCCAGGAGCGAGAAGAAGACTAGATAGGAGACGGTGTAGATGTGGGTTGCGTGTTTGGAGAGGCGCTGCGCAGCAGATGCATGTGGTGCAGGTGCTGCGTGGTCACCCGAATTTGGACATGATTCGTTTGGATTCGTTTGTTGGGCCTCTCTTAAAGGGTAGTTGTTATATTCTGAGGGGTGGTCCTCTTCGGTAGTTGATGGCATTGCCGTTCAAAGGAGTAGGAAAGAGAAAAAGGCCAAGAAATCGGAGACCGGAGATCAGGTGGAGTCCGATAAGATTAGCGCCTGGTCATTTTGTATACGAGGGGAAGGAGATAACAGACCTGCTTTGTCTTTGCTTTGCTTTCTTCTTCTTCTTCTTCTTCTTCTTCTTCTTCTTCTTCTTCTCTTCATAACCTCCTCTACACTTCATCATGTCTCTTCCATCAAATGTCCACGTCTCCTCCCACCCCTGTCTCCAAGCCAAGCTCTCCTTAATCCGCTCATCTTCCACCACCCCGCGTGAGACAAGAGGCTTAGTCCATGACATTGCCAATATTCTAGGCGTGGAAGCATTCTCGGGGCTAAAGTCGATCAAAACAGGGACGGTAAATAGTTCCCTAAGACTGAGATCCATCAAACACTACCATTAGATCACCTAACACTCATTCCCAGGACACCACGCCCCTAGGAATCGAGTATGAAACGCAGGGCATTGACCCAGCAGACCTAGCTCTAGTGCCAATCCTCCGATCTGGCCTAGGAATGGTTGATGGTGAGTGATTCTCAATCTATTCCACATTAACCCCTTCAAGCCAACACTGCAACTGTAACCCATATTACTCCCTGCAATGCTACCTAATTACACTTCTATTCCCCAATTCCCATTCCCATATCAAATCCCAAACACTGCAGTTGCAGTTACAATTCCGTTCGCATTCACAGCTTATCTCCCCTATCACCATTCCCCCCACCCAGCCTTATCCCCCACCCCTAACCCGTCCACGGGTCCAAACCCCGCTTACACAACCCCACAGCCTTAAACGACCTCCTCCCAACCCCAGTCCCTGTCTACCACCTGGGTCTGTTCCGCGAAAAGGTCTCTCTCCAGCCTGTAGAGTACTACAACAACCTCCCCTTCCACCGATCGCAACTGTCGCCGGCCTCGCCAGCTTCTTTGGATCCCACTACCAACACCGCAGCTGCAAGTCTGGCTGTGCTGCTGGACCCGGTTATTGCTACTGGCGCGACGGCCGAGGCGGCAATCCAATTGCTGCGCGATTGGGGCGTGAAGAAGGTTATTATGCTTAGCTTGCTTGCTTCGGAAGAGGGGGTTAAGCGGGCTGCGGGGACTTGGGTTGATGTTGAGGTTTGGGTTGGTGCTATTGATAAGGGCGTTGATGAGAAAGGCATGATCGTGCCTGGTATTGGGGATATTGGTGACCGACTATTTGTTGCTATTGGGAAGTAGTTTTTGGCACTATCAGCATTAAAGCATGGCTGTTTCGGGCTTGGATACTACCTAGGTACAGACGGTTATTTACCTATTACTACAACTACAAACTGGCTATAAATTAGCAAGGCTACGAACTACAATCCAAGTCTACAATAAAGTGTGTAGGAAAGATGTTGTCCCCGCCAAATAATTCATCGATAACGTATAGTACATGGAAATGGCATAAAAACATGTGCAGGTGAAACAAATGCGAAGATTTTCAAAGCAATGCTGAGCGTAAAAAGCATAAAAATCAAAAGACGGGGTTGCAAAGGCGCGCAGGCAATTAACATCAAATACAGCGGCTGGAAGTCAACCAAAGAAGCAGAGGCAAATGTTAAGATATGGAAGAAGAAAAAAAGGAACGCGAACGCATGAAATATCAAAAGGTATCGAAAGCACAAAAAGCAGATGGACGGGGGCCACGATTAGGGGTTAGTATGAACCATAAAGTCAAACTCCACGGAGTGCAAAAAGTACACACAGGACCAGCCAGGTGTCGAAGACGGAAAGCAGAAACACCACACTGGACTCCCTGGTGTAAGAACAGGGGAAATGCAAAAGAAAATAGCGAAAAAATAGCAAAAGACTAGGAACCACCGAGAGGGATATCAAAAGGCGAAGTATTCCAGAAAAGCCTAACACCCCGCCTGCCCACTGGCATGTCCAGTCCTGATCCGAAGTGTCCCAATGAAAGCGTCCAACAAATGAGAGTAAGAAATCAAAAATGGAAATTTCAAGAAAAAGCAGGAAAAGCAGGAAAAGCAGGAAAAGCAAATCAACTCAAGGAGATTGAAAAGAAAATTTAATACGCAGTGCCGACGCTAGCAAGCGACTTGGTTGGCACAGCATGGATCGGCTGATCCTTGGCAACACGGAGAGAATCTTCGTAGCCGACCAAAGCCTGGGAGTGGAGCTTGAATGATTCGCCCATCAACTTGGTGATTCTGTAAAGCGGTTAGTTATTTGGTCATCAAAGGGAGAATAGATCAAAACTCACCCCCAGACAACCACGCCGTCTAGGATGTTACCCCATACACGGGCGACGGTGGAACTGAGTTTGCCAAAGGCGTCGATGGCATCATCGTCAAACAGATTTCGGACCTTGTTGTAGAGGGCCAATTCAGCCTCAGTTGCCGGCTCATCGTCATGTTCCAGGCGGTAGAGCCAGAGGCTCAGAATGACCATCAGATCCAGGCCGCAGAGAGGGTGCTCAACACTCCAGTTGGTAGCGGAGGTCTTTGCAACCCAATTGATGCCCTGGATGGCGGCGATCTCAATGCATTCGAAACATTGTTGGATAACCTTGTTCATCTCCTGTGAGCGCTTGACCTTCTCACGAGCGACGGTCATGGCAGCGGCCACCTCGTATGACGAGTGGTACCGCATGGCCTCCTGGATGGACTTAAGGTCAACTTCCAGGCGGGCGCGGGTGTTGCGGTAGACCGCCATCGAGTTGAAAATCAAGGGATGACCCTTCTGAGGAGTGCTAAGCGGGACCACAATTGTCTCCGGTTCGCAAACTTCAAGGGAGTTCTCCCAGGTCTCGAGGGCCAGGCGCAGCTTGTATTCGGTAACCACATCTTGGAGCGCCTCAAAGCTGCGCTTGTGGCTCCAGACTTGCAGGAACAGGGCGTTGATGAGAACACGGGTGGCAAAAGCACTGTAGCGGGTCTGTTCGCCCTGGAAAAGGAAGTCGTGGGCCTCACGCACAGTCAAGGCGCTCGAGACCGTGCCACGGCGCCAAGTCTCATCATCAGCCGCGTCCAAGTTCCAGAGGGACTCAGAAGACGGAAGTTCCAAGTCGTCAAACTCGTCGAAGCTCATCGCGGGGGTGTGGTTGAATGTGAGCGTCAACATGCCGAAGAAAATGTACACTGCGAAATATGTACGACGGCAGGATTCATCCTCGATCCACTCCTCGCGCGATGGTGGGACGTTCTGGCGAGCCTGAGTCCGCAACTTGAGCTGGTATCGATTGCCGGCGACCATGTTAGCCAGGAGACTTTTGATCGAGCAAGTCCATTCAAGGCCCTTTGGGTCACCGCTCCAGCTCTCAAATGCCATGTTCAACAAAGTAGCCTGCATCAATGACAAGGGGCACTTGCGGGAATCGAAGTTGTCCTTGTGTTGTAGGAATTGGTTGACGAGGACCTTGGAGCCGACGTGGAGCATGAAAGCGTGCTCGCGCTCGAAAGTGTAGAGAGCACCAATCGACAAAACTGCAAGCAAAAGTGGTGCGGGAACTTGGGCAGGCTTGAAGGATTCCTGGTGCAGGAATGGCAAGTGAGGGTGATACAGATTAAAGTAGGTGGACAAATACCGGTTCAGCGCAACCGTGGAAGGAAGCTGGAAAGTATCGGGAAGCGCACCAAGGCTGTCTGATCCCTGGACCCTGTCCACTACATAGTTGCGTTCCATCTCGTTGGCGAGCTGGGGAGCCTTGGGAAGAGTCAGCGCTTGACTAGGGCCGGGTGAGCGACGGTAGTTAACCGGGCTAACGGGGCCAGTCATCGAGGGGTAGGGAGACAGAGCATTCGGGGTAGAGTGCCCAGACATAGGCAGCGAGTTGGACATGAGAACGTCCCCAACAGGGCCATGGCGATCGACGAGGGTGGGCATTGACCCGGGTTCCGCGGGGGAGACAAGCGTGTCCCAGGGCATCTGAGGCAGAGTGGCGTTGCCCGAGAGGTAGGGCTCGAAGGAGCCGCGTCCTGGCGAAAGCGATTCGGAACGCTCGGAGACCTGACCGGTCGCCGCTGCTGCAGCCTTATGTTGGAAATCTGTCATCAACATGGCTGCAGTTTCAAGGTCGACCATACCATCGTTGCTGCTTGCCTCGATCTGCTCCAGCGTCGTTGGGTCAACGGTGACCGACGGCTGAGCCGGGGCAGATGAGTTTTTCTGAACCCCTCCACCACGTCTCCGTCCCTCTGCGACCAGGGGAATTCCGCCGTCCTTGGCGTGAACAGTTCGATCATGTCGCAGAAGAAGATCGCGACGGACAAAGGTACTGCGGCATTTTAAGCACTTGAAGGGTCTTTCTTTCGTGTCTATATTTTTGAGTCAATCAGAGGGGGAACAACGCGCGACAGGAGACTTTGTCTAAATCTTACGTGAGCGCTCATGCCGACTGCGATGTTCACTTCTGCTAAAGGCGCGATTGCAAAATTGGCATTTGTATTTCTTCTCTGGAGCCGATGTTTTCTTGGCCGGTGAGTTGGCCGTCCCAGGTGCGGAAGGAGCCATGTGTGCGGGTTGTCTCTTAGAGAAAGAGCGAAAGTGGCGGTGGTATTGACCCCTGGGTAAGCTCGCACCGGTTCTGTAGGCGTGTCGACGACAGGAGTTCGTTGGGATGTCTGATCATTCCTTGAGCGGGGGGAAGTGGGAAGTAAAGGGTATTGAGAAAGTGGTGTCCAGCCACAAGTAGGAAATATTAAAGAAGCAAACGCTGTTAAAATAAAAAAGAAGGGCGGGATGATCAACCGCGATTAGATGTGGGAAGGGGAGGGGAAGAAGAGAGGGGAAGGAGGATGAGGAGAATAAGAAGGAATTTGGGATTTCGAAATCGGGTTTTTGGTTTTTGGGGGGGGGTGGAGGGGAAGGGGACTGAGAAAGGGAGGGGGAAAAAGGACGTGGGCCTAAGCTGATCGCTTACTTACGCGTTGAAGCAAAGACCACCTGGGCAACGGAGGGGGTGCAAAAGCGGGACCGATCACAGCTAAAATGACTTTCAGAGAAGAGAAATCAAAGAGAACTATTACCCAGCCCCCTCTCCGGCCACGCACTTTTCATTCCTTTAACCACTCACTTTCCTCGTCGAATTGTGCCCCCCCCTTTCTGTTTCTTTACGATGCACATTACCGTACGAAATCGACACGTAATTATCCCAAAAAAGCCCTACAACATATAGATTTGTCCCGATCGTAAGCCCACATGGTTCAATTCTGTTTTCCCCCTTGGATCTTTATTAGATAATTAAACACTATGTACATTGTCGATCATTTATTTTATTTACTTCTGCGAGGGTGTGATTTACAATTTACCAAGTGGGTTATGTTATTGAATCGTGCCCCTCGCTCAGGGCATTTATGGGTACGGAGGGGAAAATCCTTTGTTTATCGAATAGTTAAATTGTGTGGCATGTGAGGCGGATGATTCGATCGTGGCACACTTCGAGAGGCTTACGGTGATAATAGCCCCTTATTCCCTAATTTCAGATTTGCCCCCTACAGGGGGATTGTATCAGTCTCATCTGCAAGATATCTAAAGTACTATACAAGATACGTCTTTTTTAGATATCAAAGCCTCGGAAGTCATTGATAGATCTCAACCATGGTTCGCATCCGTCTACCCCTCAACCCCTCCAGAGCTTCCAAAGATCTACATTGTACAAACATTTACATCGATATACATCTACTTCTACATTTATTTCTATCTATATTTCTAGTATATACAAAGTAAGTATTGTCACACAACTCCGAACGTGTGCTTTTGGGAATGAGACAGGGGTACATAGGTTCACATATAGAGTTGCATTTGTTTTTCCTTGAATGTGAGAATGCCGAAGTTGAGAATGGGGACTTCACTGCCCTGTACCAAGTATAGCCCACGCTAATGGAATAGTTACATCAATATGGGAAAGTAGATCGATCCAATGTCAAATCAAGGACGATGTATGCTTGGGTGCCCATCAGCCCCGTCTCCTGACAGATCATCCCACTGTACTTTTGCCGCCTCACAAATTGACTGGTCCAGATCCAGTCTCACCTTTGGCCCTCTGACCCTCTAGGACTATGATAGCTGCCCCCGCCTTGTGGCTGTTCATCTGTTTGACTGTGCCACGCTCGAGATTATGTGTTCCATCATGCCATGTCCGACTGCATTATGCATTGCATAGGATCGATGTCTGTACCCTATACTTTCCTCGAGGCATCACCTGCCGGACTGCATATAGTAAGGATCTGCATGAAGAGCAGAATGTAAATTGGAGCAATGGATGGAATAGCACCTTTTAATTCACTACTCCCTTTCAGGTAGGCGACGCACTGAAAAACCCGGCTAACTGCGCAACAGCTCCCATAGTAGGACCAGATGCCCATGAAGTTACGGAGGACGGAGTACGGAGTAGTCTTCAACGAGTTCTTTCCTCCGAGGCTCCACATGGTGAAGTTGCAGTTTTATACACCGCAAAGCTGACAGTTATGTCTACTCTTTACAAAACCACACCGTTGCCTATCGCTGCGGAGCTGCAAATTGAGCATCGCGAGTTCCCAGGTCCTATCAGTGGGGCAAACCCAACGCTTACATCATTGGAGCCCGAAGATCCCGGACGCGAGCACCGACGCGGTTACTTGGGAAACGCGCTTCGCGTGAAACACGGCACAAAATCACCTTTCACTTCACAAATCAAATGGCGTCGAAATTCGCAACGGAAATCTCACTTCCATCTCGACCTACATCCTACTCCGTAATAGTGTCCCTGAGCACCCCCTTGATTCGCGGAAGCCAAATCCTTAGTCCTGTTCCGGGCTTCCGGTTGATCATTGAAGCCTCAGAGAAACTTCATCTGATCTGGTGGATCTAGACTATCAACTAGCTTGAAGCTCCAGCGGTGAAGCCGGGTGGCTTACGCTTTTCAGAATGGGATCCCTAGAGTACATGATTCTTGATGCAAACCCAACCCGTCGACATCCTTCGAGCTTTTACTCGGTCCACTTCCCGATGCAGCGGACCGACCCAGTCTAACGTTCTCGACCCAGGAACAGAAAAAAAGGAAGCCCATGGCGGTGATATCGCACGAAGCGGTGACTTCACCGCCTGGCAAATATAGTTATTGATTCCTTGCCTCGAAAAGTAATACCACCAAACGATCCACCATTCCCAATCCCTTGGGCCACAAATCCGGGATATGTCTTTCATTCCATATCCCTCCAAGCGGTCAAAAGCACGCTGAACAAAAGAACCAAATCCATTGAAACCCGCCCAATTATGGATCTGCACTGAGGATCCAATCGGACCAGTTACGAATCAGACCTCTTCGACCATTTTCCCTTCGAGCGCTGCTCCACATCAACGAGCCAACTACCGTAAGAAGAATTTCAGGAATCTCTTCCCCGGCGCCCCTGAGCTAGTGGACACCGACAGACGGGCTTGGCTGGAGCCCATCGTCCCGACAACTCCATAACCAAGGTCCGGCGTCTCCGCCGTGAACGCCAGGACGGTCTGGAATCTCCCAACTCGGGTCCTATTCTGTAACTAAACCCAAGCCAGCCGTCTTAAAGCCAAAGATGTCGGTGAAGCCTGTTTCGTGTCAATATACCTTGACCCTCACCGCTTCTGCAAGACGCATACGGAGTACTAGAAAGAAGCTACTAAATAAGCGTGTCCCCACTGGTCTCGACTTCAACCGACTTGACGGTGTGAGCATCATTGATCGCGTAAATTGAAATTGAATTTCGGCTTGAAACTGAGGTCCCCATTGTGCGCGCTATCGCCGATATACTTTCGCTAAATAATGGGTCTTCAAAGAGGACCCCAACATCCCAGCGTCGACAAACCAAGACAAAGACCACTCGAGTCGCTCTCCACCCAACGCGTGCTCTGTACGTCGTAAAGCTCATTACCAGACAACGGGCCGTCGGTGGGTTTCAGAGTGTGTATTACACAATAATAGCAAATGCGCCTGCCTACTTCGTCCAGGAAGCCCGTTTCCGAATTCTACGTTCGCACCGGCCGTCCCGAGGAACACGAGTCTGGACTCCGGGCGCCCGCATCCTGTAACCGTATCCAGAGACACGGGTAAACGAAGCTTTTCGTGTAGCGTGTAGCATGTGGAGATTGAATGAAACTTGGAAATATGGAATTCAGAGCCCTCGTCCAGGTACTCTGTACGGGGTACCGTATGTTGTATAGCCCAAGTGACAATTTATAACGTGCATACTCCTTATAAATTATTCCATGTCGATGATCCAAGACTGCATGACAAGCCTGTTCATCCAGGGCCTTCCAAGGTTGTGTTGAACCACGGAAACATGATCAATCGCAGATGCGATCGCCAAACCCCTGGATCGTGACGGAATGGGACGCCCGGGGAAGACCTCCCGGTCCATGGTTCACTCCCGTCCGAATCTTGGTTCGCGTCACGTCCTGATATCAGACGGACAAGTCACAATTCTGTTTCTATTCCGTACTGCGAGGCAGATTGAACTCCATCCGGTCGGTGCTGCATGCTACTTCTGTTTGTATACATACATATATAGCGTGCGCAGAACGCAAGTGCCTCCCTCCCCCCTTGTCGTGTTGGCGAATTGGCCGCATTGATTGGACAATTCCTCCGATGCAGGGGATACACCGCACATGCGAGCACAGATCCATCACATTGGCAATAATATTCAATATCATTGCAAAGGGCTTGTAATATTGCTGATCTCTTACTTATCCAACGGAGATGGTCCCCTCCTCCCCCGCGCGGAGGTGATTCCGCGGAATTTTCTCGAAAAAGGTGGACACCGGGCTAAAGGGACTAAAGTGGAAAGTGTCGGAGAACGAAAGGACCGGAGAACCTTCTTCGTTTGAGTGTCGTGTCTTGATTGCTCGGAAGTCACTAAGGTTTAACGTGCGACGCGCCCGTCTTCGAGAACAAACCAATTACCGACAAATAGACTTCCATAGTCGGATAGACTAGGGGCGTGTTACCCCATACGATACAAAAGTGAGGCGGTAATTGGAATTAAGGTGGGGAACTGGGCGTTGTCTTGTGTCGCATTGGAATCGAGAGGTGGACAGTAAAAAGATGAAGCGAAAAGCAAACGAAAAGGGGGACCAAGAGATCATCGGGGACCAGGGCTCTGGGTAAACAAGAGAGTGGGATCGAGTCGTTATTGGATATGTGCTGCACCGAGCGGCAGGATTGGGTCTCGGCAGGTGGGAATCTCTCCGGTTGGGGCGGCTGGTGACTGGTGACGATGTTGTCTGCCTATGTTTCTGCGACTGGCGCAATGTCCGGCTGCAAGGAACAAGGAACGAGGGGTATGGTGGCGACTTTTCAAATTTGAAGGCCGTTTGGTTGGCTATCCGGTTTATCCTTTAGAAGGAGTACACCGTACACAACGTAATTTCTAGTGTCAATTGGGCCAGGCGCCTGCCCGTTTGTTATTGGATTTCTTGATCTCCGTCTCGCTTGCTTTTGTCTACAACACATACTCCATACTCCACAAATACATTGTACTTTGGATGATAAGGTATTATTAGCTCCTCGGAATTTAGTAGGAACATTGAGAGAGTGGTAACATACACTTGTATGTTTAATATGTGGTTACTTGGTAGTGAGGTAAACCCTTTGTCCCAATCTGGAAGGTGATAATAGAGATATTCTGCGAAAGTTTCCAACGTATCCTATGTGAAACTCCTTCACGTACAACATATGTGGTCACTTAGCGTCTCTTGCCTGTTGGAAATATGGGTTTCAAGTTGTCCTGGCCCTAATTAACGAAATGAGTGATGTTACTCACCAGAAAGATGTAGATATATATATACTTGAGTATTCACTTATTGACATAATTCCTCGTCAACACATACACATTTCTACCCACAGCCTCATTATAAGTTCAAATGCACTGTACTCCCGACGTGAAACGAGGTAATATAGAGGCTGATCCAGCCGAGGTTCTGATATTGACTAAATCGTTGGAACCGAATCGGAAATCGGTCCCTAAATTGGCGTTCCGATCCATCCGAAGATGAACATCTCCCAGGTACTTCACAGCAATAAATGATCAGGAGGATGCGCATTCTTCCGTCGAAGACTATTTCCCGGAACAGGCTGATATGATCTAATGAACAACTCGCTTACAATGTACATTGTATGTCCATGGGTGTGTTCTATCTTCCAGGGCTTGCCCAGAATATGCAAGTGCAACAAGCCACGTTACAAATGCTTCTCTCACCTTGATATAACCGAGCCAACTTCTACAACGTGTTGGAATGATGTAATATTATTGCTCGACTGCAATTCATTGACTTGCTCTGATTTTCTTTGAACATGCCTAATAAGGCATTAATCCATCATTACGCTTGAGACGTCGAACCTTCTCTGCAGATTCATTGCGCGTCGCCCAGGAACACACACTCTCAATGATACTCATCTCCACGAGGAGAAACAGTCCGTTGCTAAGTGGGTAAGTTCCCAAGCCCTCGGGTCCATTGTGCATGGTTCTGTGTGCCGATAGCCAACGGTCTTGCATACAACATAACTTATTAGACTCGAAGTCTCATTCTGAAATGTTCTCAATGCTGTGGTAGTTACATGCCAAACTGAAAATCTCCTATATGGAGATTCACAAGTTGTACGGAGTAGTACCAAGGTCCAAGTCGGGAAGAATGAGCGGGCCGTAAGTAGTGTATCTGGATTGGCTGAGATCATGCCATTGCCAGTACGCCCCCCATCTGAGGGGCGAAAGGATTCTGATCACATTACTCCGTACAAGTAACATCGAGAAACTTCACAACGAAGTTGTATAAGCGATGCGCTAGTGTCAAACTTGTCTTGAAACCTGGGGTTCGGAATGAGGCTGCGTCATGCCATGCAGCAATATCACCGACTCCCAATAATGCTTCTGTGTCTACCCACGCTTGCATCAACCACGCGCAGACTTAGATAATGTTTTAATTGTTACGTGTATATCATCTGTACAACATATATTGTTGTACTCCGTACGGAGTATATTATCGTGTATTGTATTCCGTACCGGGGACGAGCGTCAGCACGATCCAACCACGCCTGGAAAGTGGGAACTGAAAATCCACTTTAGAGTAGCTGGAAATTAAATATATTAAAAACCGCCTTCTAGAACCATTTTAGCGCTAGTAATTGGTTAGAGAATAGACATTTTTCCGAAGGTCATCCGAAAGGGTTTCATGCTATATTTTACACAATACAACATATGTTGTAGAGACAACGTGGAAGGGAACAAAAGAAGGTTTGTCATACTCCACTGGGGCTGGGCATCTGGCCTCGTTGGATATCGGCCGGGCATATGGACCACTCTATTATTGTTCATTCTTACTGAGACACTATGTGTCGGATTTGCGCATTGTCGGCTCCCCGAGGTACATAACCCAGTAGTTAAGAAATAATTTGGATTGTGTGTGTGTTTTTTTGGCACCCCTTACTGGTCTAAGCTAGGATATCCTTGATCAATTATTGAAGAATGAAGATAGTAGATGAAGTTGAGGCACATATAATATGTCAAATTAGGGGAATTTGCAGCTCGGAGATTCCCATGTCATTCTTCACAATTGCAAATTGATAGATGCATGTCTTCCATATGCAACCAATAACCGCGGTCGAAAATTGTACTTGTGGGCCACAGACCAGCCTTGCACGGAGTATATGTTGTCTTCTGATATTCTGGCATTTGTCACCAATCTCGAGGTTATACATCAAACTACATATGTACCTAACCAGTCTGACTGCTCAAACCCGTACCCTAGGTGAGATGTGACCGTAAGCGTGTAAGCACGTCCACATGTAGTAAGTGTCCACAGGTGGATATTTCATCACACACAGACACCTGGGCAGTGGGGAACATCGCGCTGTGAAAGAGAGACACAAAACCAAGGTAATAACAATGAATGGTCTGCTCCAGATTCCCAGATTCTAGGGTTAACATACGGGACAGCTCCATTATTCTGAGGGGCTCAGGCTTAGACTCAAAAGACTGCAAGTCGGACAGAATGCCAAATGGTTGTAAGACTGTGGATATTCAAGTACATCATTTGAGAAGTTCATCTCATTGTTCATTTGGTGTTCATGCAAGATAGATTTCATATGGTATTGTAATCCTTATGTATTTTTGCTCTTGATTCCCCTCAAAAAAGCCTGCTCGTGGGCTCCATCTTGTAATAAAACCGGTATTGCATGCGCCCGTCCCGCCTCCACCTGGTGCAACTCCCCCTAATTCAATCCCACTTCCATTTCTCCATTGCTTTTGTTATACCTAGGTAACTTATTGATGGCATAATCACAGTGTTGCATTCTAGTTCGACTACCCAAGGTCTTTTTTTTTTTCCTCGTTCGACTGGGCAAAAAGCGACTCCCCACCCGCTCCCCCCCCCTCAACGTTGAATACAGTCATGAGCGGATATTGAGCTCAAACCACCGCCCCCTCTCAACCCCTCCAGAAGCTCTCTGGATTGTGGCCCAGTGAACCATTCATGTTTGATATTCGCGCGGCAGATTTAGCTGTCGACACTACTGCGCTGGGAAAGTCAGGAACTGTTGCGACCGCATTCGAGTACACCGACGAACAAGTGACCACACCCACAGCCCAATCCCGCTATCGCGGTCGGGGAAACAGTGTATCACGAAACTACAACCATTCCCCAGTCAAAATGGCCTCTGGATATGCCGTCAGTCCGGAGCCCCCGGCGCTGTTCGTACGGGCTATGTACGATTATGACGCCGATGATCACACTAGTCTGAGTTTCCGCCGTGGCGACATTATCCAGGTCCTCAACCAACTAGAAACCGGGTGGTGGGATGGAGTGATCGATGATGTTCGAGGTTGGTTCCCGAGTAACTATTGTGCCCCAATTACGGAAGCGGACGATTTCAACGACCAGTTCACACACGCCCACCACGAAACCGAGCTCAGCGCGGACTCCGGACTTGAAGATGAATATGGCGATGGGCATGATGAGGATGAAGTGAACTCCGAGGGAAATGCTCGGGATTCGCAACCGATTCTCCCTATCGAGGGTATTCCAGCACCCAAAGAGCA